AGGATGCGGATCCACAAGTTGAAGATGAATCCAAAGAAATGCGCTTTTGGAGTAAGAGCGGGCAATTTTTTGGGATTCTTGGTGCATCAGAGAGGTGTGGAGGTGGACAAAAATAAGTCTCGGGCAATATTAGAGTCACTTCCACCTACCAACAAAGTACAGCTTCAGAGATTGCTAGGTAAAATCAACTTCTTAAGGAGATTCATTGCCAATTTGGCGGGCAAAATCCAGCCACTAACTCCGCTACTGAGATTGAAGGATAGGGAGAATTTTGAGTGGGGGCCAACCCACCAGCAGGCATTTGATAGCATCAAGGCTTACTTAACTTCCCCACCAGTGCTGGTGCCACCTCAAAGGGGAAAGCCATTGAAACTATATATTTCTGCATCGGAAAGATCAATTGGGAGTCTACTAGCCCAGAATAATGAAGGAGGAAAAGAGCAGGCTGTGTATTACCTCAGCAGAATTCTGACCGAGGTAGAAACAAGATATTCTCCGGTGGAAAAACTGTGTTTGGCTCTATATTTTACTGCCAGCAAGCTAAGGCATTACATGCTACCTTGTCATGTGCACATTATCGCCAAAACAGATGTGATAAAGTATATGTTGTCAAGACCTATGTTAGCAGGGAGGATTGGGAAGTGGATTCTAGCATTATCAGAATTCAGTTTTCAGTACATACCCCAGAGGGCAGTCAAAGGCCAGGCAATTGCTGACTTCCTGACCGAACATCAGGAGTCTCAAAGCGAGGAAATCAATATCCCGGGAAGTTTAGAAGTTGCTAATGTATGGATCCCACCAAGAAGTGATGTTTCGGGCAAAGAAGATTAGATCCAGCAAGAGATAAGGAGAGTAGCAGGTCTTTGGATTACACCTTGGAAGTTATATTTCGATGGATCCTACACTCAGAAGGCAGCAGGAGCTGGAATTGTGATTATAAACCCTCAAGGGGTTTATCATTACTATTCCTTCCTACTTGATTATCAAGAAAATACCAATAATCGGGCGGAGTATGAGGCATTGATTATCGGCCTGGAAATCCTGATGGACTTGGGGGCAACTGAAGTAGAGATCTTTGGTGATTCAGAGTTAGTGATAAATCAACTAAATGGTGAGTTCAAATGCAGACATATCACTATGGCAGGGTACTATATGGCAGCAACACAACTGCTGAGTTTGTGGGAGTCTGAGATATCAGTCAATCACATTCCTAGGGGATCTAACTTGGCAGCCAATGAAATGGCGCAACTAGCTTCAGGAGTGCCAATGCAAGAAAGGAAGTATGGTGTTGATGTTGAGATCCAAACAAGAAACCTTCCCTCTATCTTAGATCGGAGGTTCAGTCTGGATGTAATGGTTCTAAAGACCGAGGTGGAAGATTGGAGGACACCTATTACTCAGTATCTGAAAGATCCTTCTTCACCCACAAGTAAGAAGAACAGGCAGCAAGCAACCAAGTATGTCTTGTGGACAAAAAATCTGTTGAGAAAGACCCCAGATGGGTTGCTATTAAAATGCTTAGGCCTAGAGGAATCCATGAGAGTAATGGCCGAAGTACATAAGGGAATATGTGGAGCACATCAAGCGGGAACAAAGATGAGATGGCTACTCAGAAGGTATGGTTATTTCTGGCCCGACATGGAAAAAGATTGTAAGTCCTATGCCCGCGGATGTGAAGAATGTCAGAGACATGGACCTCTCCAGCACGTACCATCAGTACCTCTCAATCCAGTGGTCAAGCCTTGGCCGTTCCGAGGATGGGCAATGGACTTCATCGGGCAGATTTATCCGGCCTCTAGTAAGGGACATACTTTCATAATTGTGGCAACGGATTACTTCACCAAATGGGTAGAAGCATCGGCAGTAAAATCCATAACTTCAGCCGTGGTCAAGAATTTTATTGAGACCAAGATCCTGCACAGGTATGGGGTGCCTGAAACTATAGTAACGGATCGTGGGCCATCTTTTATTTCAAAGGAGGTTGAAGAGTTTGCAAGCAAGTACAAAATAAAGATGATCCAATCCAGTCCATACTACCCTCAGTCAAATGGGCAAGCAGAGGCTAGCAACAAGATCTTGGTCAACATTATTAAAAGGATGGTGATTGATAGTCCAGAAAGGTGGCATGAGATGCTAGGGAACACGTTGTGGGCATACCAGACTTCTAAAAGAGCGGGGACAGGCACGACTCCTTATGCCTTGACTTTCGGGCAAGATGCAGTGCTTCCTATGGAAATCAACGTCAGTTCCGTAAGAATTCAAAACCAATTTGGGTTGCATAGTGCAGAATATATCGAAGCCATGTGTCAAGGTATTGAAGATCTGGATGCAGCCCGAATTGAAGCCTTGAACCAGATTCAAGAAGGAAAGATTGATGTTGCCCGAGCTTATAACAAAAGGGTGAAGTTAAAGTCTTTTAAGGAAGGAGATTTAGCGTGGAAAGCGGTCCTCCCGCTAGGCGCTCAGCTGCGTGGCTTCGGGAAATGGAGCCCGACATGGGAAGGTCCTTTTATTATTAGTCGGGTTTTGAACAAAGGAGGATATTATCTAGCAGACCTCGAAGGCAATGAGCAGAAACACCCTATTAATGCAAAATTCTTGAAGAAATATTGTCCTACATTATGGGATGTTAGGGATTGCTATATCGAAGAGGGAGCAGAGTGAGACGGACCTTAGAAATTCACATACGGTATTTTGTTCATCCAAACATTTAAAGAAGGCAGAGATGCAGAAATAGATAAAAATACTTATTTCATGTCGACAAATTGATGAGATTACAAGATACCAAATCTTATGTATTACATTTGATCCTCTCTGAAAGTGTTGGTGTCTTCAACTGGTTTCCCGTTATCTTCTTGGTTGAAACCCAATCAGGTGATCGGGTTGTGCGGCCAACATGAGCTTGGTAGAGGACCCTCCCACAAGATCTTCACCATGTATGATGATGAAGCCCGACTTATCACCACAAGTTGTGGGAAGATCAGTCATCAAGAGGAAACCGCCTGACCAAGGGTGTTGGAGGTAGAGGGGTGATTGACCAAAGGTGTTGGAGGTAGCAATCATCAGGTGAAAACTTTCTTTTTTCTCACGAAAGGGGAGTTTCAGGAAACTCCACTCAAAACCTGAGGAACCCATTTCTCAGTGGGGAGACGGAAGGATTCAAGGTGGATGAAGGGTGAAGACCAAAATGAAGAAGAGGTGATGATTTGAAAAGGGTTTCCAAAGCCAGAATTTATAGAGAACCAGAAGGCAGTTTAAAGGTTGCAAGAAGCTCAAAGGGCACGCATGCTGTTATTCATTTAATGTTGGCGCTTGGGATCCCAACCTTAACATTAATTGAAGGGGGCACTGTTTGGGATAAAATCTGAAATTTGGGCCAAAGAGAAAGTCGGCCCAAACCCAAGGCCCAGAGGAAAACTTAGGAGGCAGGAAAGAGGCTTTCGGCTGGGCACAAGTTACAAAGGCCACCTGCTTACCTGCTCAAAGACCACAGGGGGTAGGCTATTCAGTCACTACACAGCCCAATAAAGTACTTTATTGGTGGCATTCATGTAAAAAAGCTAGTGAGTCATCACCAAACCGCATTCGGGCACCGCTATTGCTACAGGAACCCAAGCTGAAGTCGTCTATAAAAGGAGGAAGAGAAGACAGAATTAAGGACACTCAAACAAACAAACAAAAGCCAAAACTCTGCTCAAGCCAGATTTGCCTTCAACGAAGCTGTAGTCAGCACAAGCCTTCATCCCATTCGGGATAAACCTTCCCAAACCCCTGTAATAGCTCTGCTACCTTGTTCATGGTGGTATCGATTCATTTTGTATCCTCTTCTCCCCCGTCAACCCCTCTAAAAGCTTTCAGACCTCTGACAGAGCCACAAAGATAGATTTGTAAGAAGTAAGAAGTTCAGCCTTGGTCGATAAGGTTCAAACTTACCCGACTATCTTTGCTCTGTCTGCTCTGTCTTTGTCTTTTCTTTCTTTTAAAAGCACAATAACATGTTATATATTCCCAATTATATACAAGTTATTTCTAGCAAAGTCATAATGAAAATGAGTCTTCAGCACTTGAATCCGATCTGAATCGCGTCAGAGTTCAAATCAGATCTAAGTCTTAAGCCCGCGGGCATGTAATTTAAAGATCAGTTTAAAAGTCATTGGCCTCAAGGCATAAAAAAGAACTCTATGTGGACTCAACCCATCCACGACAATCCTTGATAAGCGAGAAGTCCGAAGTTACTTGGGGCGCAAGTAATCAATCTATTTCTCCGTTTTGTTGCTATTATATCTTGATTCGTAGAAAAGGCTTAAGCATGGAGTGAATTCTGATAGAAAGCCTCAAGGCCTATACCTAAGGCCCCACTAAGGCATCTATTTAGCTTCATTTCATGTTGCGGTCTAGTTGGTCCGAGTATAAGGATTAACTCTGATGAGAAGCCTCAAGGCCTATACCTAAGGCCCTACAAAGGCACTCATTTGGGTTCGTCCTACCTCTTGGATTCAGATAATCAAAGGTATAATAGTGATAAGACTCTGGCAACCATAAAAGACCAAATATGATACATCCAAGCGCTGGTTTAGTTTGACAGGAAGCCTCAAGGCCTATACCTAAGGCCTCACAAAGGCACCTGTTATATCTAACTTGGTTTCTCGGGCGTATACATATTCAATCAAAGCTTAACACCCATTCAACATCTGCCATACTGAAGATGGCAGTGGCACGCCTGAGCACGACAAAGTTAATCTTGATTGTGAGCCTTAAGGCCTACACCTAAGGCCCCACAAAGGCACCCTTTCAAATTAACTTTGTCCTTCTCTTTCAGAACTGCCCGACGAGCCTTGCCCGAAGTGTGTCTTGCCCGACCAAGATCTGCCCGACAAAGGCTTGCCCGAGCGAGCCCGAGAAGAAAGCAGAAGTACGACAGATACCCTCAACCGACGCCATTCTCCCAGGGGAGCTGTGTGCTCGTCCGCCAGGAGATTCCTGCGACGAACAGGGTGAGATGAGACAAGGGATTTTAGGGATCTGCTTCCATCTCCATTTCTCTCTCAGAAACCTTGCTCTCCCGTCTCCTCTCTGTCTGTCGCCCATAATCAGATCCACTACCTCTCTCTCTCCTCTCCTTCTTCTCCCTCTCTCACCGTGTGGGTCTCTCCTCTCTTCCATCCAAGGAAGATGGAAGAACTGTCAGTAGAGCTTCCAACACAGACTATTCCTCACTGTGAACCATCAAAGCATTCTGATCTGCAATTTGACCGGCTGCAACCATCAGATGAAGATTTAGATCAAGATAAAAAGTTGGAATTTGGACAATTTGTTGCACGAGAGACCACACTGGATGAAGAATACTGGGTAAGTATTAAGTAATCACTCTCTAAATGATCACATCTTTGTCTATGGATGACAAAACGTTATGGAGTCTTTTTATGTAAACTGTAAGAAGTGAAACTCTTGTGTGTAAACTTATATGTTCTCCATTTAATTTGGTTGAGTGTGAATATACCTAGCTTTGTAGCTAATTTTATAGCAATATTGATTCACACGTTTAATTTCCAATGAACTTATATGCATTTTCCTTTTTATTTTATTTTATTAATTTACTGATCGTGTGAATCTTTTTGATTTGTTTGAATATTTTTCTGATTCAACTTGCAGGTTTAGTATCATTCTACAGGTTTCTACAACTCTTTGTTCTTTCTCTCTTCCTTTATGTATTTTTAGTCAAATTGAACTGCTCTTTTTAACTTAAGATTTAACTAAAGTGTTTAGAACTTAATTAAGTGGAAATTTACTCAGGTTTAATGATCTCGATTTGGTTGACAAAATAAGCATATAATACCTCCACATGTGAGGGGCCGAATAATTTGCAGGCCAACGTTAAGATTGCTCAGAGCATTAGAGGATAATGGTAATGGATATGAAATTGTTGTTTTATGACAAACACTGCATATTGATGTTGGTAGTTTTAGTTTTTGCTCCACCAAATTGTATGATAAGATACTTTTTTTATTGGGCTTTGTAACGCCCCTGTATTGTGTATTCCTGAAATTAGTTCCATATGTTTCCTCTGTTACTGATACATGGTTATTGGCGCGTATTGCACTTCAATTATTTTATACCCGTAAGTTTATCTTACATTGCCGGTCCCAAGCCCGGATAAAGGAGGAGGGGGAGGGCGTCAGGTAGTCGACAACCGGCACTCCATAATTACGTCGAATCCTTATACAACAACAACAACAACAAAGCCTTTTCCCACTAAGTGGGGTCGGCTATATGAATCCTAGAACACCATTGCGCTCGGTTTTGTGTCATGTCCTCCGTTAGATCCAAGTACTCAAGTCTTTTCTTAGGGTCTCTTCCAAAGTTTTCCTAGGTCTTCCTCTACCCCTTCGGCCCTGAACCTCTGTCCCGTAGTCACATTTTCGAACCGGAGCGTCAGTAGGCCTTCTTTGCACATGTCCAAACCACCGGAACCGATTTTCTCTCATATTTCCTTCAATTTTGGCTATTCCTACTTTACCTCGGATATCCTCATTCCCAATCTTATCCTTTCTCGTGTGCCCATACATCCCACGAAGCATCCTCATCTCCGCTACACCCATTTTGTGTACGTGTTGATGCTTCACCGCCCAACATTCTGTGCCATACAACATCGCTGGCCTTATTGCCGTCCTATAAAATTTTCCCTTGAGCTTCAGTGGCCTACGACGGTCACACAACACGCCGGGATGCACTCTTACACTTCATCCATCCAGCTTGTATTCTATGGTTGAGATCTCCATCTAATTCTCCGTTCTCTTGCAAGATAGATCCTAGGTAGCGAAAACGGTCACTTTTTGTGATCTTCGCTAGATTGCTCCGGTCATTAGTGTGGATAAGTATATAAATGGATAGAGATAGGAAAGCAAACACAAGATGTACGTGGTTCACCCAGATTGGCTACGTCCACGGAATAGAGGAGTTCTCATTAATTGTGAAGGGTTTACACAAGTACATAGGTTCAAGCTCTCCTTTAGTGAGTACAAGTGAATGATTTAGTACAAATGACATTAGGAAATATTGTGGGAGAATGATCTCGTAACCACGAAACTTCTAAGTACCGGAGTGTGTGGTATCGTCTTGACTTGCCTTATCTGTCTCATAGGTAGATGTGGCATCTTCTCTGGAAGTACTCTTCCTCCATCCAGGGGTGGTATCTGTAACTGGTGGAGATGCACAAGGTAATGTATCAATTTCACTTGAAGCTTACTTGTAGTTTCAGGCTTGGTCAAGCGCGATACAAACCATGTAGTAGGAGTCCCCCAAGTCGCCGAGCTAGGGGATCTGCTGAAAGAGGTGACAGACAAGGTAAGCAATCAGAGCTCCGGCTGATTGTTCACATTCTCCCTATCTTGCAGGCAGCATGAAGGATAAAGAGAAGAAAAATGAGAAGAGATGATATGGGATACTTTTGCTTTTGAAGAAGTAACTTTCCACAGGCTTATTCTTGAACTGGGCTGGAGGGTTTTCTGGTTTCCTCCAGAGTATATAAGGCCGACTGAAGAATTTGAGGGTCAAAACAAGTCCATCAAATCTAGAGTACGTTCGACCCTGCTGATATGGGATACTTTTGCTTTTGACAGAGTAGTGGATGTATCGGCACGTGTGCTGTTACGCTTGTCTCCACATGCTTCCTTGTATCCTTCTCACTTGCCCTATCTGTTCCTCAGGCAGATGCGGTATCTTCCCTGGAAGCATAAGAGATGTTGAAGATGAGTACTCGAGAGCAATGCCAGGTAAGTAATCAGGTAAGGGGTTCCAGGCAGTCAGTCAGTTCCTGGCTGGAAGCTTGATTCCAAGTGCTGACTGATTGCTCTCTTTCTCCTTGTCTTGCAGGTAAGAACAAGGCCAAAGGAAAAGACAGGGAAAAAGCATGATATGGGATACTCTTGCTTTTAACCCTGATGATATGAGATATTCTTGCTCTAGTATAGCTTGTTTACAGAGGTATTATCGGGGGGAAAGAAAGCTGAATATTTCGAAAGGCTTCGTTGGGAGTGCCCTCTCAGATAAGAGAAAGGGTTGAGCATTTTTGCAGGTCTGCCTGTCCGTTTGGGGATGGAGGTCGACATATATAGGAGTCTCCCTAACATCAAGTAATAATGCTATTCCTTTACCCTGCTTGGTCATAGCACGGTAGTGGGAGCTGCCAGCTTCACATGTTTTAACTCTGTCAGAGCACTTTGAAAAAGTGGTCTGTGGTATCTGGAAAGCTGATGTTGCGTGTGAAGATTACAGACAAGCTTTATCCAAGGAGATCCGGCTCTTGAAGTTGGGAAAGTGGTGCCTCTTCGGTTTTCGAACAAGCAATCCTGTCGGGGATCTGGCTCTCGAGATTCGGAGAACGATGCCTCTTCGATTTTTGAGAAAGCAATCCTGCTGGGGGTCTGGCTCTCGAGATTCGGAGAGCGGTGTCTCTTCGATTTTTGAGAAAGTAATCATGTTGGGAGTCTGGCTCTCGAGATTCGGAGGGCGGTGCCTCTTCGATTTTGGAGCAAGCAAGCAATCTTGTTGGGAGTGTTTTCTCGAATGTGAGTAAAGGTTGGGCATGTTTGCTAGTCTACCTTGCCACGAAGCACAGAGAGGTTGACACACAGGGACTTTCCAATTATCCAGCAGTGGTACTGTTCCTTTACCCTCTCTTCGATTTTTGAGAAAGTAATCATGTTGGGAGTCTGGCTCTCGAGATTCGGAGGGCGGTGCCTCTTCGATTTTGGAGCAAGCAATCTTGTTGGGAGTGTTTTCTCGAATGTGAGTAAAGGTTGGGCATGTTTGCTAGTCTACCTTGCCACGAAGCACAAAGGTTGACACACAGGGACTTTCCAATTATCCAGCAGTGGTACTGTTCCTTTACCCTCTCTTCGATTTTTGAGAAAGTAATCATGTTGGGAGTCTGGCTCTCGAGATTCGGAGGGCGGTGCCTCTTCGATTTTGGAGCAAGCAATCTTGTTGGGAGTGTTTTCTCGAATGTGAGTAAAGGTTGGGCATGTTTGCATGTTTGCTAGTCTACCTTGCCACGAAGCACAGAGGTTGACACACCGGGACTTTCCAATTATCCAGCAGTGGTACTGTTCCTTTACCCTTGTGGGTAATAATATGGTAGCTAGACCTTCAAAATTTATGTGTGTCTAAACTTTGTTAGTGTTGTTTCTTTGCAATTCTTTTACCCTTCTTGGTCAGAGCGATGATGTAGTGGGAGCTGCAAGCTTCACGTGTCTCAACTTTGTCAGAGAACTTTGGCAAAGTTATCTGTGGTACCCATGAGCTACTGTTGCGTGTGGGAAGTGGGTGATTGAACAGTACGATTCATGTGCTTTCTACTTCGCCAGAAATCTTCGACAGAATGCCCATAATTTCCGCAAAGCTGAGTGTGTGTGCGTGTGACAGGTGCTGACAAGGCTGGAAAAAGTAGGTGCCTCTTCGATTTCTGAGATCGGCCCTCGTGGTCTCTGAGCAGCCCAGCTTTTGAGAAAGCAAGCCTCTTCGATTTCTGAGATCGGCCTTCGTGGTCTTTGAGCAGCCCAGCTTTTGAGAAAGCAAACGCCTCTTCGATTTCTGAGATCGACCCTCGTGGTCTCTGAGCAGCCCAGCTTTTGAGAAAGCAAACGCCTCTTCGATTTCTGAGCAGGCGCCTCTTTCGATTTCTGAAGCTTCGTCGAGTGCAGATTTTTATAGGGGCTGACATTAAGTTCCAAAGCACACTTGAATATCCACCAGTAGAAGCTCCATTCTTGCACTTCTAAGATCTTGATTTGTCCGACCTCTTCTCTCTTCAACACCTTTGAAAATGTCTGGCCCCTCCGACCGTCGTTTTGACTTGAACCTTGTTGAAGAGGCAGCCCCGCCTTCTCCAGACAACATATGGCGCCCATCCTTCGTCTCCCCTACTGGTCCTCTTACCGTTGGGGATTCCGTGATGAAGAATGATATGACCGCTGCGGTAGTGGCCAGGAACCTTCTCACTCCCAAAGATAACAGACTACTTTCCAAACGGTCTGATGAGTTGGCTGTTAAGGATTCTCTGGCTCTCAGTGTTCAGTGTGCAGGTTCTGTGTGTCTAATATGGCCCAACGCCTATTTGCTCGAACCCGCCAAGTTGAATCATTGGCGGCTGAAGTGATGAGTCTCAAACAGGAGATTAGAGGGCTCAAGCATGAGAATAAACAGTTGCACCGGCTCGCACATGACTATGCTACAAACATGAAGAGGAAGCTTGACCAGATGAAGGAATCTGATGGTCAGGTTTTACTTGATCATCAGAGATTTGTGGGTTTGTTTCCAAAGGCATTTATTGCCTTCGTCTTCTGGGGCTGTACCGCGTAATGAAGCTCCAAATGATCAACCTCTGATGCCTCCTCCTTCTAGGGTTTTGTCCAGTACTGAGGCTCCGAATGATCCCCCTCCGGTGCCTTCTCTTTCTGGGGCTCTACCGACTGCTGAGACTTCTCCTAAGCAACCTTTGTGAAGGCTCCCTCTTGTTTGTTTATTTTGACTCAAGTATATGTACATATTTGTAACTTATCGGGGATATCAATAAATAAAGCTTTCCTTCATTTCAACGTATTGTGTTAAATACACCAAAGCCTTCTTCGCTAAGTTCTTTGAATTTTCTTTTGTTGAAGCTTGTATGTTGAAGCTTTGTGAGTGGAGCATGTAGGTTGAGGTAGTGTTCCCTTAATTTCCCGAGTGAGGAAAACTTCTCGGTTGGAGACTTGGAAAATCCAAGTCACTGAGTGGGATCGGCTATATGAATCTTAGAACGCCATTGTGTTCTGTCCTGTGTCATGTCCTCCGTTAGATCCAAGTACTCTAAGTCTTTTCTTAGGGTCTCTTCCAAAGTTTTCCTAGGTCTTCCTCTACCCCTTCGGCCCTGAACCTCTGTCCCATAGTCGCATCTTCTAATCGGAGCGTCAGTAGGCCTTCTTTGCACATGTCCAAACCATCGTAACCGATTTTCTCTCATCTTTCCTTCAATTTCGGCTACTCCTACTTTACCCCGGATATCCTCATTCCTAATCTTATCCTTTCTCGTGTGCCCACACATCCAACGAAGCATCCTCATCTCCGCTACTAGAAATTAGACTGACCATGAAGATGTAGTTGACCCACGTTAATCTACTTTCTGCGTGGAGTTTCAGGCTTCCAAACTACTGCAGATATTTCATCTTCAATGTTTTAGAGCCAGAGGGGTTGTAATGATTGATTTCAGTATACAACCAGTGCCTATTTTCCAACATATTCTCTATAACCTATTTTATTGTTTTATCTAATATATGTCTTATTGCCCCCATATTTTTTTGAAGGCAGTCTTCGGTCATTGGGTCAAGGTGGAGCATCCTGTTTAGTTTCTAAGGGGATACAATGATTTGGTGTTGTTTATCTCAGACAGTGGGCTTGCAGGTAAAATGTTAATCTTTATGTCCAAAGCGATCTTTCTCTGCATGCTGACTGTGTGTTGATTTGAAGGGGTGGTTTAGTGAATGGGTGTTTCTTCTTTTTGGCCTTTCTCTACTACCATATATCTTTCTCTATTCTCAGGTATCAGATCATTTGAAACAAAAACATTTTAACTTTAATTTTGCAGGTTAATGTTCGGTTTGAGTCCAACACGATATACACTTGATTTAGGACACAGTTTACCTATTTGTAAACACTTTGTGTGAAATATTATTAGTTATGAACATCCAATTTGAATCCCCCACATGCTAAATGAGGTACTATTAAATTAGTTTTATGTCTTTTTTTTTATTTGAAAGCTGCTTCTTATTTCTATGTCTTTATTAAGATTCTGGGGTGTGCTTTGGATTTGCTTCATATGGTCATATTTTTTGTCATTGGCTTTTTGTTCTGCTTAGTTATTTTTAATTGAGTGTTTTATCTGGTATTTCATTTTGTTTTGTTTATTTGTTTCCTTTTTATGTTTAAATGTTTTATCTGAAATTTCAATTTTCCCGTTTTATTTTTCCTCGTTACACCCAGACTTGTTTGTTGAAAGCAAAGTCTGCTAATTCAGCAAGAATAGATGGGGAATTCTGCAAATTGGTTGTCCCCAAATTTGAACCCGCAGACAAAATTCTCATCAGTGCGCTCAGAAGCAGATCGCAAATGAAAGATCAAAGAGGGGTAATTTACAATACCTTTTTTTACCCGAATAACTAAATCCCATCTATTGCAACAGCAATTATTAAATGATGATTTATGTTTTGCGTTTCAGTGTGGAAGATGTTCATTCCCAGAAGAAATGAGTTGTGAAGATCTTAATGATACACTGGTACAAGGGATCATAGATACGTAATTTATTTTGGTCATTCCACTTGAAAGCTTAGCTGCTGCAAGAACCGTAAGAAAGTTTTTAGAATTTTTTGCCAACTGCTAAAACTACAATGGAGTTTGCAGGACATGTATTTTGTCATGTTGTGCGCACAGACAACTGGATGCCGCTTATGTTTCTTATGCAGACTATATTTTGCGATTAGAACTTTTGTAAACAGAGTTAAGTTCATCATCTTGATTGTACAGTGGCTCTTGATGTCAGCTTAATTAATGAAAACCAAACTGCTTATCAGCTCACTTCACCCATCTCTTGTTTATTTGAATTCTTTAGAGATGCCTGTATTGATTTCTGGTTTTGTTGGATTTACTCTAGTGAAATGTGTTTATCTGCATTGGTTCATTTTAGGGTGACTCCATTCGTGTTGCCTTTGTATTGCATCTTTCTGTTCTATTTATTCACGTCTGTTGTGGATAATAGTTTCAAAACCCGTAGCGAAGCGTGGGCCAACTTCCTAGTAAAGTCTAAAACAAAAGGTTTATCCACCTTGAAGCATGCTCTGTTCCTGAATATTGTTTTGTTCTGAGGAAATTATTCCCCATTGCTTAAAATCTCCCGTCCATCTTTCTAAGCCAACTTATTTGATTGTTTTTAAATCATAACCCACAACAAGTGCCTAATGAGGAATAGCAAAGCATAATAAAATAACATAAGGAAGAAAAAGATGGCCCTAATTAAGAACAGGAGAAGCATAATGTGTTGACAAAACAAGTACAGAAATCATAAATGAAAATTTATTACGTTGCTATAGGATATAACCCCGATTACTGCTACAAACTTTCTTTTTATTTGAGGAAATCAATCTACTGTAAATCACGCTGGGAGATTCAAACTTGGATGTATAAGGGGAAGCACAAATGTCTAGCCAAATTAACTATGCCCAGACGTCATGCAGACTAACTGGGCTACATTATTTCATCAGCATCCTGGATTAAAATTTGTGACTCTTCGACGTCATCTTTCGATGGTCCTCTCCTCATGACCATGTTGTTTCTGAATCATCTTCATCATCCACTACAGGTTTCTCTTGTGGGTAAAGGAAAGGCTTTGGAGGCATTTCAAGACACTCAATTTCTCCTTCGAGCATCTCTACTACTTTGTTCATCGAAGTAGGACGGTCACTAGGCTTCATTTGGATGCACCATAGAGCCACAATAAGCATCTTCTTTGTTATTTCATTTTCTTCTTCCGTGGCACCTTCACTTTCTATGTCATTTCCTTCGCTGAATTGGTCATAAACCCATGAAGGAAAGTAAATTTGGCTCGAATGTGCTGCAACGTTCAAGTTCTTTCTTTTGCCTGCAATTTCCATCAGTAGCATTCCGAAACTATAGATGTCTGCTTTGTTAGACACACCTCCAATATTTTTGTAGAATAACTCAGGGGCTATGTATCCAATAGTTCCTCTTGCTGCGGTCAACGTTAAGCTACTATCATCTACTGGACAGAGTCTAGCTAGCCCAAAATCAGAAACCTTTGGAACATAATTGTCGTCGAGAAGAATGTTGTGAGGCTTGATATCAAAGTGCAAAATCTGCATGTCACATCCTTGATGTAGATAATCGATACCACGAGCCACACCAAGTGAAATTTCAAAAGCTCTCTTGCAACTCAAGGAGACAGGTCCTTCTTTAGAAAATATGTGTCTATCAAGAGATCCATTTGACATGAACTCGTATACAAGAGCACGCTTTGAACCCTCAACACAATAGCCAATTAGTTGTACCACATTTACATGATGAATCCTTCCAATGGTACCAACTTCATTGATAAAATCTTGTCCATTAGCTTTGGACTTACCCAGCATCTTAATTCCCACAAAGCGGCCGCTACGAAGCTTCCCTTTGTAGACAGAACCGTAACCTCCTTCCCCCAATTTGTCCCTGAATCCTGTGGTCATTTTCTTGATGTCGGAGTAGGAGTACCTTATTGGCATGAGGTTGTTGTGACTTTGTAAGAATTCTTCAATTAGGACATACATTGATAGGTGCCGCTTTTCCATTTATAAATTAATAACACAATCACACATGGAACGCCGATTACAGTTCTTGCTCCAAGGGCCAATATTACTGTAATGGAAATAAATCAAATGAGAATGAAGAGGAAACTTTGGAAGCGGCCTTGAATCGTCTCAAATTTGAAATGCATTCTGTAATTAAAAATAAAGATCCTAAATACTCACCCATTTCCAGAAGCCAGAAAACGATACCTGCAAAACCAAATTTAATTAAGTAGAGAGGTTATTTGGAAGGGTTCACAGTAAAAAGAAAAACATTACTGAAAATATGACTTTAGCCCTTGAAATTCAAGTTTCTTTACATAAAACCCGACATAGTCTTTTTACCTGAATAATACTCAATGACTAGGCTCCACATGAGCAAATTCATTAATTATGTTTGCCTTTACACATTTTGCATTTTTCAGATGCCTAAAACACCCCTAATTACGATTTTAATGTATACATTTAATTCTATGCAGATTTGAAGGGAGGGATTAATGAAAAAAATGCATTAATGTTTAAAATCATTGCATATTAATATATCATAACAAATTGTATATTAATGCTTTTGGCCAAAAAAAAAAAACACTAATGTTACACCTTCCTTAAGATTTTGTAATTGTTTTTCAAATTTGCATAAAATTAGACAATTTTAATTTAATCTTGTCATTTTCTTACCAAATGAAAATATGAAAAGGCACTATAAAATTTGCCCAGTAATAAAGCATGCAAAATAATTTACTTATAAAATAAAAGAAATGCTATTTGATTCAAAATAAATTTATCTATATTTTATACAATAATATAGGTGAATCATTGCACACATATATATTAGTAATAAAATGTGCCCAATATATATGTAATAATGCATGCAAATAATTCACCTATAAATAAAGGAAATTTGGTTTAAAATAATATATCTACTACTTGCAATTTTCCTTTTTTTTTACAAACATAATGTACTTACAACATAATTTACCTATTGTTTAATCTTATATATATATATGTGTGTGTGTGTGTGTGTGTGTGTGTGTGTGTGTGTAAAGTAATGTATCTACTGTTTTATGTTAATGGTGATAATTTGTCTTGGTTTAGTTTTTACTATATAATTTGGGCACTATTTACCTATATTTTACATATAAATTTAGATAAATTATTTTTAACACGCATATATAATAACAAATAAAAAATGTCTAATGTATGTAATAATAATGTATGTAAAATAATTTACCTACAACATAAAATATTAATTGTTTGTTATTTTATCGAACAATATTATTTGATGCAAAATAACTGATTGTACAAAGGATTTTCCTTTTTCATATGAAAAATGTACCCATAATTGTTTATGAATATGGATAAATTAATATTATATATATATATATATGTTACTAATATTTATGATACAAGAAGGATAAAATTTCCATATGGGGTTAATTGCTAATCATAATTAGGGTGTGTGATAATATTTATTGACATAATTAGGGTTTTGTGGCATAAGTTGTAAATATTTTGTAATAATTGGTTATATATTTGTTTACATGGTAGTCTATTTGAATTTTGGGTTTTATTTGAATGTTTAATATTATGTGGGTTTTTGTTTGGAAAATAGGAGTTTCAAGGACATTTCTCTAAAGAACCCAAAAAATTATAAAATTACTTACGTAGTAGGTAGTCGTAAATGATCATCTGCATGGGACCTGCATTATCCAAAAAAACAAAAGTATTGATCATATGAAGAATATTGACATGAAAAAAAAAAAAAAAAAAAAACTTTAGCAAACCGGACAAGGAGACTGCTTTTTAAAAATGTAAGAAAATGCGTACTGTTATAAAAACAATCCACTTTGTTTGTGTCGTAGTCGATGGAGCAAAGACTCAACCCGTGATATCTGCTTTTGATCTGCAACCACGAAAGTTCAAACCCATAGACTAGCTTTTTGTGGATGTCTGTGTAGGTGTCCATTGCACCAGGCCTTGATGTCATAACTGTAAGATCTATACGGCACAAATCCCTCATATCTAAGGCATTTAAATCACCAATCGTAACAAAAACATGCCCACCTGAGCTGCTCATAGGACTGGTGCAAGGAGCAGTATCCACATAGAAAGGAGAATTCACTTGGGTTTTACAGGTCATGAAAATTATAGGCTCCCTATTTACAAAAACAAGGCGATATGGATTCTTTTCTCTATATACGTTACTGAAGTTAAATTGAGCCAATGAATAACGAGGCATTGAAGAGCAGTCACCCTCACGAAGATTGGCGTCCACAATTCGGATTGTGTAGTTATCATAATTGATTGCCTGGACATAGTATCTTCCTGAATACAAGTACAATACTGTTCGATTCTGCTCACAAGACAGGTTATACCTTTGGTCACCACAGTTGTCCGGGTCATGTTTCAGTCGGAAAGGGTAGCTTATGTTGGGGATGATTCCACAGGAAGAAGGTGCACAGTGATGACGATCATCCTTAGCACTGCAAACTACACAGAAAAAGCCAACAACTAGAAATACTATGAATAAACTAGCTGTAAAGGGTAGCACTCTTATGGTTGCCATGGTGAGAGAGAGGAAACCGGAGGTTTCAAACGCTAATAGCTTCCTCAGTTTGTGGTTGGGAGCAGATGATTGTGAACTGCATTAACTACTTATAAGCATATGCAAGACCCTCATTTCCTCGAAGTGAGATTCATTTCTGACGTGGAAAAGTAGAAACTTCATCGAAATTACAATAATCCAAATTTACTAAGTCAAAAACACATACTATATTCAATATCGGTCTAGACGTGAAGTAGTGAGTAAAAGACAAAAGGATTGTTCCTTACCTTTGCGAAAGGGTACAACGACCGCAGCTTGTAATTCGTAGTAAATAAATTAGAGTGCTAAGAATAAATTGATAAGAACATAAACTCAAATTTGGAGGTTATTGACTCGTTTGAATGTGCTTTTAAAATAACTAAAAGCGTTTTTAGAAAAAATATTTTTAGGTTCCAAAAGCACTTAAAGTGTTTTTTGCAAAAAACACCAGTTTTGTGCTTCTTCCATAAAGCACTTTACAAGATTTACTTGCATCTTTACTAAAGATTAATTCCAAAAATATTTTTCATCAAAAACGTTTTCAGTCATTTTAAAAGCACATCCTGCTGCAAAGGGTAGTAGTCATCTCGCAACCACGATAAGGAACGGAGTATTCGAGTTCCATAGAAATAGCTTTCCTCAGTCCCACACGTTTACGTTTACGTTGACTAGTGGTGAGGAGCAGATAATTGTGAACTTCATTGTCTACTGTGGAAATTAGCTCCCCATACCCTTCATATAACAAAGTTTTGTGGATAGAATTTCTTTGTGTTAACTTGTAGAAACACTGCATTACTGGGTCAACTTGATTTCGAAGTCTTTCGGATGTGGACAGAATTAAGGGCCATTGAACCTTCCCTTCAATTTTCCAACCTGCACTTACAATTTTTGGCTTAAACGACTAGATTACTGTCGCCTGTCGTCTCACTTTTTGAACAAGTGGATTTTGGTCGTTCCTAAAGTTGCCAGAACACAATTTAAAGATTAAATCATTGTTCTTTGTATCACCAGACCACGACTTATTCATGTGGAACTGTCAATGCTGCTTAGGATGATCGCGATATAGTCGATGCGGATCGCTGACTTCAGTGACCAGAATTCATTTAGTACTGTTTCTCAAGTTCATAACTCGATATCAGATGGGGTGTCAGCTTGGCTTTCAAAAATATGGATCCGATTGAACTGCCTAAGCCTATAATTTTCATGACCCCTTGGATATTCGCATAGCTGTGTGTGTCTATAGTTCCCCTCGCATTGATACAATCAGTAGTTCCAGTGCTCCTCTCTCATCCGATTCGAGGGATAGGTGCCGTGTTGAGCTTATAGTTATTGACATCATGACCTGGTACAAAGAGTATGAACATTTCCTACATAGACATCGACAATGAAACTGGTCTACGGATTTGAATTCTCATGGTTGCAGGGCTTTGATATAGGTCGAAACCGGATTGATTGCTACATGACAAATATACTAACGAAATTAATCCAGCGAAGGAGACTAAAGAACTTGAATGCAGTTGCAGCCCACTTGGGTTTATGACAAATTCAGCGAAGAAGACGACATATAAACTGAAGATGCCACGCACGGTAAAGGAAAAGGAAATAACAAAGAAGATGCATACGGAAGAGAAGAGTAGAGAGATATTGAAACAAAGATCATAAGTAATAGAATAATAACTAGCAGATATGCCCGCACGTTGCTGCGGAACTTGAATGCACCAGTCTTAACTACATAAATAAGACACATTGAACCTGAATAAATTAAACATAATCCTGAATGAACAGAGGGATAGATGAGTGAACGGGGTCGGTAAGATAAGTAGCTTGGTTTTTATATACATTTCAAAAGATATTACACACTTCAAAAGATGCTTGCATCAGGTTGGACACCAACTGACAGCAAAAATACTAATCCACTTGTGTACACGTTATCTTGATTTTTCTTGTTAATGCACCTTAATTTCCTTCTACTAAGGGGTATTACATCTACAATTAATCATCTACTGACAAAAGACAATCCCTAGATACTCGATATGCAACTAAATCAGCAAACAATCCTTACTTATTCAGCATATCTACATAACCAGATTGGATCAGATATCAGACATCTTATTGTCAAACATTATGTTCTCTCTAACCAGATAAGACATTGGATTGCACACAAGTAAATAAAGAGCCCAAATTGGAAAATACCCAACACCAATTAGACACAAATAATACAGACACACTGATCAAATTATTTAGTGCACATATAAAGAGATAGACAACATAGGAAAATATAGGGGAAAAACCAATCAGCACAAATAACACACACATTGTAAACAGATCGAAGACATAGGAAAACTTATAATAGATGACCTTAGTTTACTTAGTGCACATATAAGCTAATGTTTCTTATAAAGATATAATAATTAAAGGCAACCTACAATTGAGCCTGATATCGGACTTAACTTGTTAAGTTATCTCGGTGTGTTTAATAATTGGGAAACATATCATAACCTCCTTAAGGTCTCATCAGTGCATATGTATTGGGAGATATGTGCATAAATATGGAGTAAAGAAGTGGTGCATTTATGGCCAGATTTTTATTCATTTGGTATTCAGTTTTGTTGTGACTTATGAAACCAGAAGCCTTTCACATTGAAGGTCTCATCAGGGTTCTGATCATAAACCTCCCAAACAAACAAAATTGATAAATCTTTATCATTACGTTTAACAAAACAGATTACAGTGAAAAAAAAGTTCCATGTTTAAAAAAAAATTAAGCAGTTTCATATAGCCTCCTCCTAAGCACAAAAAAAGGTCGTACCCAGTGCACAAGGCTCCCGCTTTATGCAGGGTCTGGGAGAGGTGAATGTCGGCTAGCCTTACCCCCATTTATGAAGAGGCTGCTCCCAAGTCTCGAACCCGAGACCTACCGCTCATGGGTGAAGGCACTTGCCATCGCACCAAGTGGCCGCTCATGGGCGAGGCTGCTCCTAAGCACAAAATTATAGTTTAATAAAGGAAAATCCCAATCCAAAGCTCCAACCTTTTAACCCAAAATGAAAGCGAAAAGCATGGAACATATATTTCAGTTTTATTATTAGATTTTCTAAATCCCCACTTTAAATGCATTGCAAAGATAACACCACCAAGGGTGGCAATCTGACTCTGGTTGCGTATGTTAGTGGACTTTATGCAACTCAATATATAAAATTTAAGCAGTTTCAGAGGCTCCTAAGCATCTGCAAACAATTAACATTATCTCCCCAAGTTTCTTTCCCATTTTCATCGATAGCAATTTCATTTATAGCAATTTTATTGATAGTCTACTACGCATCTGCAAACCATTAACATTATACCAACTTGTGTCATTTTCCTAAAGATGTTCCAATTTCTCAAAATCTTAATTCCAACTACATTTCTCAATCCCCAAATGGCCACATATGAGAAACCAAAACAAAGCCTTAAAGGGGGGGAAGAAGAAAGAAAAAAGAAACATAAGGTACTGTTCGGCTCCTAACAATGATATACCTTTTGTTTTGGCAAAAGTTTCCATTTTGTTGGAGGTTTAGGTGCTGGTAGCTGTAAAAAATAATAGAATATGTCATTGGCGGTCAGACGTCATGCTTAAGAACACAATAGCAACAACTAAATCAGTTACAGAAAATACCATTTTAGTCAACCAATTTACTTGATAAGTACCGTAAATTGGCATCACAACATAAGGGGATCAACAAAAATCTCGACACTTCTTTTCAATTGTCAAGCACTCTGCATGTATTCACTATCAAATGCTTCTATACATGATCAAACCTATCAAAACAACATAAACAACCTCGTTTTGACAACCACTGTAAAAAATACACCCAAAACTAAAATTAGTAATAAGAAACTAAAATAAAAGCAAGAAAAATAAAAATTGAAGATTGATAAGACTTACAAATGCCCATCTTTACGACCTCCACCCAAATCACCTTCTCAAGTGTTGACCCTTGGCAATTCATGTTCTGTAAAATAAGTACAGAACACTTGCATTTTACCAAAAATAAAATAAAATAAAATAAAAAAATAAAAAAAGGAAACCCATAAGAGAGAATCAATTTTCTAGGCCAATTATACATTAAATTTCATAAAGTTAGATAAAAAGATAATAAAATTCCTAAAATTAAAAAATAAAATAAAATAAATCCAAGCTTTGAATTAAAGGAGCTAAGAAAATCTACTCCTAATCTTACAATTGATGAAGAAATCAAAGATTTTGAGGGAAACCCAAAATCTGAAAAGAGGGAAAGAATTGAGAAAAATGGAGAGAATCTGGTTTGGGGTTGAAGACATGGTTGGGGGAGAGATGGATTCTCCCACAAATTGCAGTCTCCATGGATCAATGTTTCTTTGTTTTTCGTGTTGAGGAAGGTACAATTTAAAAATAAATTAAAAGAAAGGAAAAATGGAATCGTGGAAGATCGCGGGGGTGAGACCAATGGCTCTGCACATGCCAACAACGACAACACATGTGAGTGAATGCGACATTTGACAAAGTCCTCTTTCAAAACCTACAAATTTAAGTGACAAAACTTGCTAAAGTGATCACAATGGCATTGGCAATAAAAACATAAAAGCATAAGACCTAATTTCCAATTGTCCAAAATGCCAGAGAAGAGCTCATTTCTTAGTAGCACAAGACATATTGAGATATGACAAAAATATGGCATTACCTTGAACCGGTCAGTCTCCGCAAATCTCTCACTCACATGAGTAGCCATGTGTGGATCCTAAAGCCCATATAACATTACACATAATCAGTGCAATACCAACTTAATTCCTCAAATTTGCAACAAATACAAACTCAGAATTGTAATTGCATTCAAAGAAGAAACACAGAAACACAGACATTCAAACAACCTTTTTGATTGCGAGCACAAATGCACCAGCATTAATAAGAACATTGATCAAAGAACCTGTTCGCAGCCTAATTTCTAACATCGCATCACCTTCCCCAACATCGACCGCAGCAGTGAGCTGATCCGTTGATCTCAAAATCTGACATTGAGTGCTGCAAACACACCAAAATCAATCAAAGAAAAGAAATTCAGAACTAAAACGATTTTACCTAAGATGCAAAAAATGCTTTAGATCCTAAGTACCAAGCAAATATAGAAGCGATTCAACAATTATTAAAGAAAATCAACCATGCATGGAACAAAACTTAGATATTAAACAATTATCAAAGCTTGTGAAGAATGCTAAATCCAACTAATTCGAAACATAAAAGTAACCCGAAAGAGAGAACTTATAAATCCTATATAAATTATAATCCTTAACAGAAGGATGGAACAAAACAGGTTCATTCTTGAGAACAGATGTAATTTTGCACATTGCATATATGTAGATTAAGGAGAGTGGTAACATACCTTGTAATTTGTACAAATTAGGATTTTCATTCAAAGAACTATAATAAACGCAATTCAAAAAAAGTGATTCAAACTTGTTCTTCTCTTAAGGAAATTACTCACAGTAGAAATTCTGAATGGACGAAGTTTTGGCTTCCCTTTCAGGCTATACTTGATTAATTGGGATCCTTTGTTTAATGCAATGAGTGCCTTCATGAGAGAGAGAGAGGAATATTAGTTGAAAAGTATTGCCAAATCACACAGAGATCAAAATCTTGAATATATATGTTTAACCATATCAAAGTGAGTGTGTGAAAGGGTGTAGTCTGCAGAAAGGGCAACATTTTCACTGCTAGAAAGTTGGAAACTAAACTTTTACACAGATATTGGTTCTTTATTAATTCCATTCGCGAATCGAAAAGCAAATTGTTCGAGTAATGCAGGTAAATTCGATATACATATGCGTTGATCTATGGTAAACGGTTATAAGTTATAACTGTATCGTCTTAACACAAAAATGATCATAAATGTAAGTGTCCGTATAACGGAAGTAAGGGACTTACAACAATTGCAATGAGCTCTACCAGCAGTCACTCCCAAGTACCCTATTACGGAAGTAAGGGACTTACATCAATTGCTATGAGCTCTACCAGCAGTCCTTCCAAGTGGCGCAAGGGCTAAAATTATAAATAATAAGTAATTTAAACAGTTTAACTTAATAAAATATTGTAATTTAAACAATGCCTATATATTCAAACATCCCAAAACAGGAATGAACTTCCAGAAAATATGCACATGAAAATAAACCATCAAACTGGAGCGTTAGAAGGATCATCATGTACCTATGAAACCCAAAGGAAAATCTTAGCAACCCCAAAGTCTGTATGCAAGCGTGAATAAGTATGCGTTTATGAATCTATTCATAGTGAAGAAGACTACCATAAGAAATATTTGCATCTGCAGCTTCATATGGCCATACAACGAAAAGCACCGCATACGATAACAAACTCCAGCTGCACCACAAAAGGAATATGATCTTCCTCTCAACTTGTATTTGTAGTTGTGACTGTAACATCTACAGACAGCATACATAAGCACTGATTCGATAATTCTAAAGAAAAAAGCTCTTATTTGATAATGCACCAAATCCTATCCAAAAACCAAAGGGGTACCATATCCCTAGATTAACAGAGCGTCTTTCCTTGTACCAAAACAAATTGCAATTTGGCTTGGTAAAGTAGAAAGATTACCAAACACCTCGGGCATAATCTCGACTCTGTTCCATTATTCGAGCATTATACTATCCTTTTAGTTCTCTCTCTCAACATGGGAAATACAATAAGACGGTAAAAACAAAAGTTAGTGATAGCTATTATATAGTGAAAGAAAATAAGACATTCACATAGTGATAGCTATTTATTGTCCTTTCTCATCATAATCTCGACTCTATTCCATTATTCGAGTATTCTACCATCCTTTTAGTTCTACCATATGTGAATGTCTATATACATGTCAGCTATATAAATATATACTGAATTCTGAAAGCAATGAGAGAAATATACCTTTGGGGCGTCGATGCCAGAAGGGTGAGTGAGGGATCTAAGATGTTTGAGAGCAGGAATTTTTGAGCAATTTGTGCAAAAAAGTTGAAGAGCTTCGAACAGAGTGGAGTGAGTTGGCCTGGGCTAAAATAAAGAGGATGAACTCTAGAAAGTAGAAAATGTTGTTGTTCAACCAAACTCAAAAGTAAAGAAACCATACTATTAACATGTAAATAAGTTTTATATATCAATGTTTACATGTACGTTGTTTGAGAAGGTAAATTAGCAACATATACAGTGATCAAAAGATTAACAGCAATAAACTGCTCATTATTCGAAATATACATGAAAGTTTTCATTCACATGATCCAAATGGTAGTTAATGCAGAGGACAAAACAGAAGGAAACAAATATTATAGCAGCATAAGTTGAATAATTGCAGCAACCAAACAAATAGAAGACTCAAAAACTGGAAATGAAAGCAACATTGAGTTTTAATAACCGAAAAGGGACCTTGTTTATGCAGCTCCACAGCAGCATTTATACTTGGAGGATGAGCTGCAAAAACAGAAAAGAAAACACAAATTAAACTAAAAAAATATAGAATTTAACACTAATCCAAGGATTAAATATCAAAAATAAAGTCATTAGGATTGGGACCTTTGCATTGAGGAATATCTACTACATTATGAGTTCCCTCCTAATAAAGCCCAATCAGGGGGTTTTCCGGTGAGCCACAAACGGCTAACTTTGCACGACACCGCCATCCCCACTAACACCAAACCCAGATAATATCAAGATCAAAACTAACCAATACCAGAAAGATATTCCTTTTTATTTAAATATTAAGAAAAGGCCTAAACTTTACGAAATTAAGGGGAAAAAAAGTTAAGTAAAGCACCAATTTGCAACTGTCAAAAGTGAAATCTGAGATGAAAAATCCTGGATTTGATAGCAATGGCATCAACAGTGCCACCACATCCCAAATAAATGAATGAAAATATAGTGATTGACGGCCAACTAAGAAGCTCAAGCTTGAACATAAACCAAGGCATAAGAGATTACCAAACTTTTCAAATGGTTAAATTGTTCATTTAACTTGATAACTTCTTCCTGCAATCCATAAGATCATTAGATGCGGTAAATAAAACATCATACTTCATCCATGGCAATCTAGCAGAGAAACCAATTGCATTCAGATAGAGCCTAATTTGTGGAACTACATTTATATGCACTGAAATGCATTATCATGTTGTCACATTTAAAACTGAGGTTTATGCAGTATGCTATCTTTAGCATACACAAAATTTTTGCCCCTCATTTTGAAGTTCTGCACTTCATAATTTATATACTTTCAGTTTCCCTCATTTTCGTAAGACAATGTTATGATATTCCTAATTTAGAATGTGTTTCCATTCTAATGAATGCAAGCCCTAAATCATAAATATTGTACAATTAGCTCTCAATTACTCTGAGTCTGATGTGTTTGAGCATGTGGCAGGGTATGAGAATCAGAACCACTCCATGTTGTCCTCCGCTTCATGATTTGGTCATTAAACAATACTTCATTCCCTCCATCCTTTATCACACCTTCTTGGTGATCATTTGTTCGTCTCCGAACTGTATCCACAAAAAACCACAAATTACTCCCATAAACAATCATACAAAAAAATTGCGGATTAGATTCGATTATGTACCATTTTCCCAAGATGTAGAGTTCGGTGATGATTCCCTCCTCGTTTTGCACCTTAAACATCGACATTTTAAACCAGAAACCAAAATCAAACAAACATAAAGAAATACGACTGACAGAATCACACTGTAAGCCACCACTCCCTCACTTCCACGGTTCCACCCACAACACCAAAAACAACAATAACAATGTACACTCAGACAAAACAAAAATGCACCAAAGCCCTCCAGTGCTATAGGACAACTTCGATATCTATGGACTGTTCCTTTCTCCATGTTACAGCGATAGTATTAAAGCTCTTACAACATCACAGATGCATGACCAAGAGTGTATTCGACAACCTTTTCTCTGATCCTTTTCATCAGTTGGTCCTAGAGATTCTATTCTTTTAAATTCATCTTCTTTTTCGGTATCAACACACATTTATCATTTCATACGTCGAACACAAAACACCTAACATTTTGGGCGACAAATTAGAAGCAACTAATCAGAATCTGCGCACTGAGAATTAAATTACTATTTGTTCTTATAGTCCCAATGGAAATTACTCATTGATTCACAATATTGATCAAACTAAAATGCAAGAAAAGCAAAATCCCATATCAAAATAATATGAAAAGATCGCAACAAACCAACCAAACAATTAACATCTAAAAAAAAATTGCAAAGTTGGAGGGAAAGAAGCACCAGAAAAAATATACACATCCAATGCTTTTAATCTAAAGCTAGAAGTAGGAATAACTGAGTAAGTTAATGAAGGCAAAGCAGAGGGTAGGAAGCAGAACAGACCAAGAGACCAGTAGGGCATCGGGGCCGGTCTGCCGATGAACGCCGTGTACTGGTTGACAACGCCCAACGGTGTCGGCCCGGCAAAGAAGTAAAAGTCGAAAACACCCCCAATGACCTTGTAGGTGAGAGAAGTCCCTCTGTAGAACACATCGATGCCATTGCTGTTGAGCAGCAGAACAGAGTGCGCGTAAGCCTCGTTGCCCACATTCCGGAGATCCATGTAAACCGGGTGGGACCCGTACAAATCAGTGTTGAGATTGATCGCCGAGACATCAGTGGTGAAGAGGGTGTATGGATCGTTCGGGTAGAACTTGATCCCGTGCGGCTGAGAGTTCTCTCCGACGCCGTACAGGGAGGATTCTTTCGGCAGTCAGGTGGATATCTCGAGGTACTGGCCCTTAAACACCAGTTCACCATATGGGTCTTTGGATTCGGAGCTCGAATTGAAGAGGACCTGCCAGTCGAACTTCCTCTTGACGGCGAACCCAAACGGGTCGGAGATGTAGCTGAGAATGAGCTCAGAGTCGGAGTACTCTGAGACTTCGATGGGGTTCTTCGTCTTCGCCTGAAACACGTTTTGGTTTCAATTGAAAGGGCTGGAGCCTTGCATGTGAGGAAGATGACGATAGGATTCCAGAGACAGAGAAAGGAGTAAGACAACAGAGGTGAGAGAAGGGAGACGGCGGCGAGAGGAGGATAGAACGGAGGCGAGACCGTTTGTGTCGCGGGTCTATGAGACGGAGAAGGCAATGAGGGTTTGAGAAGGAAACGGAAAGGGCGTGCTTTACCATTGTTATTCCCCTCCCGCGATCATCAACATGTGTGCATTAAGATAGCGGGAGAGAGAGCTTGTGGCAAATTTGTAAATAAAATGAAATCAACCCAAAATTGCACAGTGCCACTCTCCCCCCTACTTTTAGACCAAAGTAATACCTTATACCATAGATACAAACTAGAAAATAAGCCCGCACGTTGCAGTGGGAACCACTATTTTAGGCATAACTGCATAAATAAGATACAGTTAATCTGAATAAATTCAACACTATCATGAATGAACAAAGGGACACGTGAGTGAATGAGGTCAATAAGATAAGCTTGGCTTTTATATACATTCAACTGAGCTAACATTTAAAGACATTGCACAATTAGTAGGAAGAAACTAAACGTTCTTTATCACAAAGACATGGTTGCCAAAAAAGTTATGTTTCCATAAGAAACAGAAGAAACAAAAACAACATGCAGTTCACACATATTTTGTGTAATTAAGATGGCAAAATATGTGTCCTGCAGGGCATACACCTATTTCAGCAGTTAATAAAAAACATAGAAAGTGTTCAGTACTTGTTCAAGTAGCTAATTTTTCAAGCACAAATGTTCAAAGCCAAAAATATGCAAAAGCCCTGTTTCCATATGAAACAGAAGGAACATAAGTAACATGCAGTTCACACATATTTTACCCCTGTAGTTATGACGGCAAAATATGTCCTACAGGCTAGGCACATGTTTTAGCAGTTCCCAAAAAACAGAAATAGTGTTCCATTCTTGTTCGAGCAGCTAAGTTGTCAAGCACAGATGTTCAAACCTAAAAAGGCAGTAAGAACAAAATCACACCCTCAAATGCACCAATGCAGATAACACAAACTAATGCCCCTTCATACAAACTGCAGGCCAAGATGCGCAAAAAACATTTGCATATTCCTTGAAGGAAAATTTCTAGGCCCTTTTATATTATGTATTAAGGAGAACCAAATTGTATCCCCCAACACTACATTTGTTGGAGTCACAATCCCGTTGCAAGGGTTGTAAAACTTAAAAGCTTATTGTCCAAAACCAAAACAATTTGTACCATTTACATGCATGTGCAACAAACCTGTTCGCGAAACATAGACGAATCATCCAGCTTCCCGAAATACTTGTGTCGAGGGACACAAAGATCGTCTTTCTCATCTGCCATGCAAACCTGCCCCAAAAACCACTATACTCAATACTAATGAAAATTTCAAGGACCAACAAAGAATGTTGGAATTTCTTGAACCAAAAACAATTTACAAAATTTCTTGAACCAAAAACAACTAATATTGATCTTAATGGAAAATCAAAACTTTGATCAGATTATAGGATTTTGAAAAATAGTCAATACCATCATAAACAAAATTCCACATTTCTCAAAAAATTATGAAAACAATCTTGTTTGAGTTCCATGAATATTCCTAGTATCCAAATAGCATGTAAATTTTCCTAGCATCCAAATAATTGGTCAAAAGCTCAAAAAGTCCAAACAAACAATTAAAACCAAATCCTCAAATGTTTGGTTGCAATGAAGAGATTTAGGGGGGATTGAAATTCGAAAAGAAAATTTTACATCCGATCCACCCATTACAACCCCTGGTATGAAACTAAATCTCACACATACTCAAAGGACACAAAGCAGAAAATTACTCAATTTCAAAATCCAAATCAGAAAATAAAACCTCACCGTTTCTCTTGCTCACCTCTTCGTCCCGCATATCTTCTCCTCATATTATGATAAAAGACCTCTCTTCAAGTCTGGCCTCAGATAGTTGGTCCATCTCAGGCTGCAACTTTTCCAGACCTTAAGAGCAACGCCAGTGTTGCTGGTTGCTCGGGCGACAGGCGAGGAGAAAGGGCCCGAGGCCCGGTGGGAGGAGCTCCAGCGGTGAAGGGCCCGAGTGAGGGTGGGAGCCCGAGCGAAGAGGGGGTGGGGAGTCGACGGGCCTGTGGCCCGAGGGCTTTGCAATTTTTTATTTTTTTTGTGTCAGAGAGAGAGAGAGAGAGCTTTTGTAATTTTTTATTATTTAAACAAAAAAAAACTATTATTTTAATTGCTTATTGTCAGGGGGGAGGGTTCCAAGGGTGAAGATGTAAATGGCAATTACTGTTCATTAATGGTAATTACTATTCATTTAAGGCAGTTACTGTTCAATAGGGTGAATTGAATAGTGGATTGCCAGGGGGAGGGCTCTATGGGTGGAGTTGCTCTAATAATCCTGCGATCCAAACCAACCCACTACAACCATAATCAGTGAACAGTTTACATTAAAACATATGAAATTACAACCCATTTGATAGAAGAATAAGATTTTATTGTTTTAACATAAACACCGAAAAATGAACATTTCACAGCGAAGAACTAGTTTCTCATTATTTAAAAATTAGTCATTAAATTTCATAAATAAATTTAAAAAAAAACCCAAAAGAATGCAAAAAATTGGAACCTTTGTGTGAGCAAGTAGAAGACATAGCCCTCTTTGGAATTGGCTTCAGCAGCCAAAGCAAGTTAGGATCTTTCTTTAGACTAAAGTAATATTAGCGTACAAACGATTGAGATGTGGCCATTACCATCATCAAATATGATACTATTCCTCTTTCTCTCTCTCTAAACTCTTTGTGAAAACCCAATTATCTCATGGTCAGATTTTTGCTTACTTGCAAAGATGTCTTTAACTTCCTCTAATTATTCACATTTTCTCATACTTACTCTCCAATATCTACTTCATCAGAAAGCTATGACAATAATACAACACACATTCTTTGGAATTTTGATATGGATATAAATGCGGACTATTTTAATTTTTCAGTTAATCTTTTTTCTTGAGAACTCAAAACACACAGATTCTGTCTCATCGAAACGTAATGGGGATATTAATTTTTCAGTGATGTTTCAAGTGTGATTACAAATCCCACATACAATTGTCTTCATGACAGAGGGGAACAATTTTTTACCATGTACCTAATAAATCATGGTATTAATTTCAAAACAGAACACATATATACCCGGCCCCATAAGGGTCAATAGGTCTCGGTTGCATATGAGAGGTGAAAGATAATATATGCATAAGGCAACTGAAACACGTTTAGTTATTATTTTTGTGATATACTGCCAATGGATTGCCACCCAACATATTTTACATATAATATTTTGATAACATCCCGCGGGCATTGCCTAGAAACAGCTTCAATTACGAGTTTTGCATCTTTGATTTCTTTTGGGTTGTGGATATGAAAACATGAGGATTTGGAGGAAAGAAAAGTTCAACAATTAATCATTCAAATTAGGGGAAACCAATTACAATGTAAAATTAATCCAAAAACTTATAAACAAACATCAGAGAGTTAGAGCTCATTCATGTGAAAGTATTAGAGAGTCAAAGCTCAACATTTAGCCCATTTTGAGTGCAGCCTTACAATTAATTTTGAGGGAATGAAATATGCTAATTCATGTGAAAAAATTAGAGAGTCAGAGCTCATTGCCCGCAATTTTCTTCATCCTCTGCCCCTCCATCAAGATTAGTAGGTCAAAGGTTCATTTGAAATCTCGAATCGATCCAAGAACTTAAACTCCAAAAACTCAATTCGATGAACAAATTCCCAATTTGTCAACCATTGGAAGTTAATAGTACAGGCCTTGATGTCATGCATAACATGATTACTAATCCCTTATGTTCAGATCATGATATTAATAGTACAGTCAAAGATACATATGGGATTCTGTGCTAACACCACCTATCTAATATGGTAATGCTTTGAAAATAATGACATGAAGAAAGAATGGTAATTAAGCATGATGAGATTACCATTAGCATAATGTGTCCAAAAGATGGGATTACATTAATGACACCATTAGCATAATGTGTCCAAATTCAGAATGCTCACCCTCACGTCCTCAATATGTTTTGTAAATGCTAACATCACCTTAGGGATGGGCAAATACTCATTGGTTATGGGTAACCGCGGTTACCCGCCCATTTAAATTAAACGGTTACGGTTATGGGTAACCGTTTAGATAAATAAACAGTTATGGGTATAACCGTTTACCCGCGAAATTTAAATGGACGGTTATGAGTATTAACCGCGGTTATAAACGGGTAACCGTTTACCTATTTATTTTATATATGTAAAACTAACACAAACCATGTTCTCGATCCAATAATACTTAGCACCCAATAAATTAGCAAGGAATTCATCGGTCATTCTCTCAATAACACTGCTACAGGAATGATGATTCTCATCATCAAGGAATTCGCCAAATTAATTTAAATTCCTTGCGGGTAACCTTGAAATTGACAGAAATGCTTTGATAGAAATGCTTTGACATAAATGTCTTCTAAACAATTTTTGTAACCCAATAATACTTAGCAAATATTATATTTACCTTCATTGGTAACAGTTAAAAATATCGTCTGTAAACTATTATTTCAATTATTAGAATGGTATAAGGACTTAAAAAATTAAAATACAGAAATGTATGATGAATGTACCTATAACGGTGTTTAATTGTCAAAAAAAAAAAAATTATGACAATTTTTTTTTGAATTTTCAAGTTGTTAAAAAACATGTAGACGGGTGAAAAATGGGCAATGGTAAAAAAAAAACGATAAACGGGTTAAAAAGGGTAAATGGGTAAACGAGTATTAAAATGTTACGGTTAAATGAGTATGCGGTTATGGGTATGGTTAACCGTTTATAAACGGTTATGGGTATGAGGATAACTGTTTAGGCAATTACCCAACTGGTAAACGGTTATGTGGGTATGAGCATAAACGGTTATGGGTAAATAACCGGGGTTACCCGACCACCATAACCGTTGCCCATCCCTAATCACCTATCTAATATCCAAATATAAATGCCTGGCAGTAGCAAAGCAATCATCTAGCATCTAACAAATTTAAGAATGGATAGAAAAATACCTTAGTAGTGATCTCTTTTGTGCCTGCCTGGACTACATTTGCAGCCGACTGAGCCGCCGATGCAGAAACCAAAGATAATTTTCCAAAACCCTATCCAAATTAAATAAACGGAAAACCAAAAACAGACAGAAAGTGTGTATCAATATCAACCATCTTCATCTACAATCATGAATCAAGAATATACATAATAACAAAATAAATATAACATGAGATTAAATTTGCAGCATATTGCCAATTAGAATTGAAAGGAAAAAATATCATTCCACATATTTCCACTGTGCTACAAATTCACTACTAAATAGCAAAAAAATTCAAACTTGAGCTCTCAAGTTGTCTTTTTGATTCCGCTAGGTTCAAAATAAATCCTCAGCAAAGAATATGACAGAGGAACATTACTACACTATTTATGAAACTTAACGAGCGCTGGGCACACATGTTTATATTTTATGTTTTTTTCTTTTTGTCCTTATCATTAAATAAAGTTATTAGATGGTTTTTTTTATTAAAATGCAAAGTTTTGAAGCCCTTTCCATTAATTTTCCTTAAAATGAAAATTATTTGTTGCTGGTAAAGTGTGTGGCTATGATTTCCTCTGACCTAAACTAAGAACATGCCAAATGTTTGGATACAGAGACAAACTTAATTCCAAGTAGTGAGATAAAACAATTAGTGTCTTAAACTGCTCATCCATTTGCTAATAAAGAATTAGAGTAAACAACAGAGGGAATTAGCTGAATAACCTTCGTTGGCCAACGTTGAATAACATTCAACGTCCAAAAATATCTCAAATTTTGATAATGAAATTCGTCGAGATGATAAAAGAAAGAACCAGAAACTAATGAGATATGAATAAACATGCAACTTGAAAACCATACTACAATTCTGGCTCGCACACACAGAGTGCACAACCTATTTGAAACCCATATCACCCATGTGAAAGAAAAATAAGAAATTGTAACCAAGTATGTAATAAACTGAAAGGGGAAAGCAAATGAGAGAACCTTACCACTCTTTCTGGAATTAAGCAGAGACAAAGGCTGAAATCAGGAGACAACATTGCCATCAGTGCCTGCACATCAATACAACACCATAAACATTTAACACACTTCTTATTTACAACTAAAAGAAATGTTCCAAAGCAGCAAGATTCAGTACAGACCTTAACGACCCACCGTCGATCCGCCCCTGCGTAGGGGTAAGTCTTATGTTCAATATATTGCAAAAGGGGAACATTCCATTGCAAGAGCTCCCTAAAATCAAACTAAAACATGCAATTGTAGGTAAAAGGGGAGAGCAGCTAGGAAAAGACATAAAATTTCACAATGTAGTTCACATGTTGAGTAGGCATAGAGCCTGAAGTTTGTTTCCACTATAACAAATCCCTGAACAAAAACAGTGAGTAAAAAATTTGTAAGTAGCTTGTATGGATGCACATCAGTTTTCTTGATGATTAGGAATTAGTTGTGGAATAACCGATTAGAGACAAAGCTAGAATGAGTACAAATAACCAACTTGTTTCCTCGATGATGAGTCTGTCAAGCTAACTAAAAGATTAGTAGCTAAGTTAGTAGGTATAAACCAACTGTCTTTCCTTCCCTAGATAAGTACACAAAAAGATAAAAATTTAAAACTTGAGGTCAGGAAATGGTTAAACTGTCATCTGGGAAATTATTACCAATTTAGTGCACGTTATACCAAGAATAAATCACAAAAGTATAACCTGCTGAAGTTTGATCAGTCCCAAATCTGCAAGGTCCTTGACTATATTCTTTTGCCTCTCATTCAATGTATTTATGTTATATGCCTAACACACGAAAAGAGAATAGAATCAAGAGGTGAGAGATTAATTCTAGGTAGAAACTTTCCATGTGGAAGAAAACACTGTTCTACAAAAGAAATAAAACAGTGATTACTATGAAAAGTTCTTGTGGCAACATTTACTGCAGCACTATTCATATTTTAGTCGGAAATAACTATAAGCCAAAAAAATATGGGGGAATTCAATAAAGCATATGCTACTGCAAGAGAATAGTCATGTATAAAGAGCATATAACTAATACCTCGCCCTTAACATGAAAACTAAGTTCTACCAGGAATGAAATCAAATCTGAAGAATCCTGCGCCAAAAAGGAGAGGTGAGGAGAGACCAACATAGCTACTGTGAATGTCACATCTCGGCCCGAGGTCCACCACATCCCATGCCCGCTCCAGCACCGTAGCACGATATTGTCCGCTTTGGGCCCCGACTACGCCCTCACGGTTAACGTCCCAGTGGGTCACCCATCATGGTATTGCTCTCGAGCGCAACTCGCTTAACTTCGGAGTTCCGATGGAACCCGAAGCCAGTGAGGTCCCAAAATGCCTCGTGCTAAGTAGGGATGAGAATATAAATTTAAGGATCACTCCCTGGACGATGTGGGATGTTACAGTGAAGGAAAAAAAACACAAAATATCAGAATAACATCAAAAGTTACAGACTTGCAGAATCCCAAATTACACTTTCCCAAATTCATCGAGACAATTTCTTAACTTCTCTAGTTTGCGTAAAAATATTAACTTGGGTAAAATCATATTCCACAAAATTAGAAATTGGGGAGTTAAATTAAACACCAAAACTTCACAGGGGAGGCTTACCATTATATATGCAGGCATTGAAATCAAAACCTTCTTCCACCATGGAAGTCAAATGTGATGTTTGAACTGAAAAGCTATAAGTTGGCATCCCCATCTTCAGTATATCCCTTGGGAACAATACGAAGTTGTATTTGAACCAAAATCAGCAAACACACATCATCAAATCACATCCATATATACATACAAATTTATATGTGTATGTATAGGCATAGTGAGAATGTACGGACATGTGAGGGGTGAGCTTGGACGCTCTGAGAGTGAAAGGGCAGGCGGCGAACTGGAGAAGCTGGAACCGCCCGGCGGCGTACTTAGCCTTGCAATATGACTTGTCGGCGGTGTCGAAGCGAGATAGGCACGAAGTCGAAGTGGACAGGTGGTTCTTGAACTCCTCCAGGGACTCGGGAAAATTGGACTTCGTCACTTCCTTCATGGCCCATTTCTTTGAGACATTTGTGGTGGTGGTGCTGAGAAAATGGCGCCGTATTAGTGGAGGCAGAGACGCACTACGTCTCCTGAACTTGTACGGACACCTACCTGAACCTCCGCCTGAACTTGTCGATGTCGTTGAACAAACTCAACTCGCTCACTTCATAATCCTCGTCATGGTCGTCGTCGAAGCCGACGAACTTCACTCTCAGTCGGTCACAACCATCATTCGCTATCAGGACGTCGTACCAGGCGTCGTCCAAGCCAGACGTGAACTCGACCGCCATCCCAACTCCCACCCACTCTCCCTCTCGCTGTACCTCTGCAATCCCTAGTCACAGTGGGCTGAACCATTTCGGCTGGTACATGCGACGAATCTGGAGGCGGAGCATGGAGCATGGAGCTGCAAGTTGTCAATGAGTTCGCGGCTGGCGAGACTGAGAATGGCGAGAGAGAGAATCGGTGAGGGATCTGAGGAAAATTACAGAGTGAGAAAAGGGAAGGATGATGGGATTTGCTGGATGTTTACATAGAGAGAGTCGGGAGAGAAAAAAGAGGGAATGAATGAGGGGATGGAAACAGACGAAAAAGTAGTCGAAGCTGAGCACTCCACGATGATTGACGCGCGGGCGCCAATTCACTGTACAAAGCGGTGGCAATTTCATAAATAAATAGAAATTTCAATCTGAACAGTAGTGAAGGGGTTGGCTAAGGTATGGTTTGGCATTGAAGTGTTTAAAAAAAAAACTAATAAAAACAGTTTGAAAACTTTGAGTTTTAACGATAAGGATAAAATAAAGAGTGAAGTGAATAGTACTAAAATTGACTTTTTAGTGTAAAAATGTGGTTTTTCGTTAAAGTGAACAGTACCATGAGTTTTTCGTTAAAATTCCCTAAAAAAAGCTGCTTATTTTCAAAGTTTTTATATTAAAGGTGTTTTTTTTAATAAAAGATGATATCATTAACTGAGGAAAATTACAAAATATCTTGGATAAGGAGATCCTGAATAACACTAGGAGGCTTCTCAACCCAAACTATGCTTGTCTCAACAGACAATGCAACCTTTGCCAAACAATGAGCAGTACTATTATTATTCCTAGAAACGGAAATAAACTTAGAAGCAGTAAAAGCTTCTGCAATATGTAGGACATCCCCCGCTAACAAATCCATAGCTGACGCACAGTCAACACAAGTGTGAATGATGGAAATTGCTTGAGAGGAGTCACTTCGAACTAGAACCTTCTGAAAGCCAAGCTGATGGGCGAGCTCCACACCACGCTTAATAGCTAACATTTCTGCTTGGAGAGCAGACGTCACCGTAGGGAGAAAAGATGCCGCTGCAGCCAGAAAATGTCCCTGCCCGTCTCGAAGAACCACCCCCACCCCACCCACTTTATTCTGCAAATTAGTCGCACCATCCACATTCAACCGTACCCAATACTTTGCCACCCCCTCCCGGGACACAGCAGCATCTTCCGTAAGCCCATCCCGAGGATGGCATTGCTAAGCAGCAATTACAAGCTCTGCCACGACCCGAAATTCTTGCAACCAAGACACCACACACTAAGCCACTACAGCTGGAGACCCATGTTTCCCCTTCCAAATTCTATCATTCCTTTCCTGCCACAAATGCCACACCACCATGCACATAAAATCAAAATCCAAATGGTGATTTTGAAGTAACAACATGAACCATTCTTTAACCGATCCACAAAGAACGGAATCAACTAGAAAACTACATGGGGTTGCAAACCATGTAGCTCTGGCAAATGAACAATCCTTAAGAACATGCACCACCATTTCTGGCTCTCCACTACATAAAACACAAAACGAATCCGAACCAACCCCTTTCTTTGACAAATTCTCTTTTGTCCAGAGAATGTCTTGACAAGTCCACCATGTCATATTCCGCACCTTCGGCGGGACTCCGGCCTGCCATATTGCCTTCCATAACGGAGTAAATGAATTACCACCAAGAGCTGAAGAAGAAGCACTCAAAGAAGGTGGTTTAACATAATCCCAAGCAACCCTCATAAACACTTTTAACCGTGAATTGTCCTCTATCAGTGTAATGTCATACAAGCTTGTCCGGAGGTAAACGATGGCTAATTGGTACAGCACGAATATGCTCCATATCCTTCTCTTCAAAATATGCACTCAATGCAGTTTCACACCACATTCTTCTTTCCTCATCAATCAATTCCTACACCAACATATTCTGCCTTGAGGGAGGCGGCTGGGATATAGGACGAAAAGTCAATGGTCTAGGTACCCACTGATCTTTCCATACACGTACTGACGCCCCATCACCAATCAACCATCTGGACAACTTCTCCAAGACAATTCTAGCTTTGAGTATGCTAGACCAACAATAAGACGAAGAAGAGGGGATTGACGCATCCCAAAACGACGAATGAGGGTGCTATTTTGCTTTAAACAACCTTGTCGTCAAAGACTCAGGATCCTGGAGAATACGCCATCCCTGTTTCGCCAACACCGCCAGATTAAAGGCATAAAGGTTCCGGAACCCCATACCCCCTTCCGGTTTAGCCAAACACAACTTATCCCACGACTTCCAATGAATTTTCCTTGAGTCAGGATCACTACCCCACTAAAACCGAGCCATGAGCTGATGTAGATCATCACAAAAATTCTTCAAAAGCATAAAACAATTCATAGCATATGAAGGCAATGCCTGAGCCACCACCTTCACAAGCAACTCCCGTCCTGCTCCGCTTAAACACTTCCCCTTCCACCCACATAGCCTTTTATGAACTCTCTCCTTAATATAAGCAAAAGTTTGCCGTTTGTTCTTACCCACAAACGTAGGCAGGCCCAAATATATCTCATGTCGCTCCACCAATTGAACACCCAAAAAATTTGCCAACCCTTGCTGCACATGACCCCTCACGTTAGCACTGAAAGCAATGCTACTTTTACCCAAATTTATTTCTTGACCTGATGCTTGGGAAAACAGATCCAGAATATGTTGAACCTCTGCACACTTTTCCAACTTCGCCTTACCAAACAAAAAACTATCATCGGCAAACAACAAATGATGAACACTAGAAGCACCATCATAAATCCTTATCCCACTAATCACTCCCCTTTCTTCTTTATGCACAATAAGTGCTGACAAACCTTCAATACAAAGAAGAAACAAATAAGGAGATAGAGGGTCACCCTGATGAAGACTGCGAGATGGCACAACATACCCACATTCCTCGCCATTAACCAAAAAGGAGTATGAAACCGATTTCACACATACATCATCACGACAGCCACCTATCTACTATCAAACCCCAACCTCGACATAATAGCTTCCAAAAAATTCCACTCCACCCTATCATATGCCTTGCTCAGATCCAATTTGAGTGCAAATGATCCCTCCCGTCCCCACCTCTTATTGTGAAGGAAATGACCTATTTCCTTTGCCACCAAAGTGTTATCAGAAATCAACCTCCCTAGAACAAAGGCACACTGATGTGGAGAAATTATGACATTTAAAAATTTCTTCAATCGTTTCGCAATCACCTTTGCACCAATCTTGTAGATTACATTACATAGACTAATCGGGCGTAATTGTGATATTTCCTGTGGCTGATTTACCTTAGGAATTAATACAATATGAGTGAAACAAGCCTCCTATAGTAACCGTCCAGATGTGAGAAAAGAGCAAATAGCATTCACTACATCATGCTTAACAACATGCCAAAACTTTTGAAAAAACAAAGGTGACATACCATCCGGACCTGGGGCTTTAGATAGATGCATTTGGAAAATTGCATGTTGAAGGTGTTTGATAAACTAAAAAAAAAAAGGATGATTTTGGAAGCTGCTGTGAAAATAAGCTAAAATCATCAGAAAAGCTGAAACAGCTAAATGCTGCTTTGGAAAACTGGTTTTTTTTTTCAAAGCACGTGGAGCTACAGTGCTTTTTTAATGAAACTTTCTAAAGTCCAATAACACCCTCAAACTAGAAACGGTGCTCCTTTGCCGATCTCCACAAAACCCAAAAACCCACTAGACTACCACAGCCAAAATCGATAATTTCAAAAAAAAAAAAAAAAAAGCATAAAACTCTCATTTTTCCTCTGCTACTTCAAGAATCTGTAGACAAAAAGAACAACAACAATTCAATTTCTCCTTCTTCAAAGTTTACAACTTTGAATTTGTTTCAAATCAGAAAAAAGAAAACGAGGAGGAGGTGGAGGTGGAAGAGATAACCTTGAGTCGCTGCTTGCGAAAGGAAGAGATGCTGGATTGGAGACAGCGAGAAGAGGAGGATTGAGTCGCTGCCTCCGTTATCCATCTTTAATTTCTCCTTCTTCAAAGTTTACAACTTGGAGACAGCGAGAAAAAGAGAGGCTAGACTGGAGACAACGAGAAGCAAAGCGAGGCTGGACTTGAGTCGCTGCCTCCGTTATCCATCGCCCGCAGAGAATTGGAGGGGTGAAGCGAAGCGGTCTTGCTCCGATGGAGAAAGGGTAAGAGAGAGGAGAGTAGTGAAGAAAGGCAGAGATGGAGGAGGAGAATGAGGTGGTGGCGGTGAGGAAGGTTCTTGATTTTTTAGGGTTTTGGATTAGGGATTTCACGGCCACACAATTGGTGGTGTTGCCATTGTCGTCCGTGTGTGTATGTCGAAGGAGGAAGAAGAAAGTGAAAACAATGAAAGGGAGAGGAAGGTGTGAAACTGAGTGAAAATCCTCACATAAAAATAGTAATATTAAATAAAATATAATAATAATAATAATAATAATAATAATATAGTATTATACATTTTTTGGTCATTTCACACAGTCACAGCTGTTTTACATAAAAGTTTACCAAACACTATCATACTGCTTTTTTTTTTTCAGAAAGCACTTTTACAAAAAAGTTTACCAAACACTCAGCTGCTTTATTTCACAACTGCTTATTCTCACAGCACAGTAGAATCAGCTTTTTTTCAAAGCACAGCAATACTAAACCAGCCCTTAGTAGCATGTTAAACTTCACTTTATCGTCTATCCCCTGCTTTCACAATGTAAACATATAGAAATATGGAGTTTTAATGAAAATGGCCTAGCACTATTCATTCTTAACCAATGACATTTTGTGTATGAAAAGTCTATAATGGGTCAAGCTCTTTTCTTTATTTACTCTTATGCCATTATTTCATTATTGTAGTGGGGTTCACAATGATGTTGACATTTCTGTCTGATCAAATACATTATTTTGCATGATGCTATTCAACTTATGCAAATTTGCTATCAGCTCTTCATGCTTCCATCATGTTGTCAATGTTATGCAGCTCTTCTTCTGTCAAATTATTCCAATATTGTTCATCGTCTTCTACTAGCTCTGCATCTCTTTCTCTATCTTATTTCACCTTGTAATACATATCTTCTGTTTCTCCTTTGAAATTTTAAGGCTTCCAGTATTGCTGATGACGGGTTTTTGACTTGGTGTAAATGTGCATTCCTTCTTCTTCTGCTACTAATACCATATCATACCTAAAATTTTCAAACTCATCTAAAGCAAACGTTTGGATCCCTCGAAATTTTAGAATACTTTTGTATGAAGGAGTCCACCTGTGTGGAGAGATATGGGATAGTCTAAATGATTCTTCATTAATCATGGCTATGTGCCTAGCTTTTTGTTTATGCATATGTACATACCAACTTATACAAATTTCTTTCCACTTTTCTAGATAATCTTCTGCTACTTTTATAAGTTTTTCAGGAAATAATTCTAGTTGGGAAATACGGTTAACGAATATTTTATCAAGATAACCAAACTCTAATAGTAAGGCTAAGGTAACTTCTACCACATTATGCTTTTTTTGATGCTCATAACTAAAATGTCATAGTCTAAAATCTCTCATGTTAATTATGGCCACAATTATGTTAACATTTGGTTTACGAATACAACTCTCTGTACTATCACAAAGACATGGTGGATACATCTTTGTAATAATATCCATCCCTGGTTTTGGATCAAAGATGGACTGATACAAAGCACATTGTAATTGTAATTGTAACTCTTTCATGGACTGTGATGCTCTGCTCAGGATCTTATTTTGCATATTTGGTGGCATTATTCTTAATTTTGCTTTTGAAATTTCTTCTAATAAAATATCATCTAATATTAAGTCTAAAGATATGTTCCTAAGAAAACTTTCATATATTTCTTGTTTTTCTTTATCACTTAGATGCTGATGCTGCTCATTATTTTGATTCTGCTCCATTTCAATGTATTCTTCTAAGAGCTCAATCTTAATTTCTTCTATGGGCTCATTAGCCTCTTGTTCTATGGGTTCAATAACCTTTTTTTCTTTATTCTTATGCTGATCAGTTTCCAAACTTATTTTCAATTCTCTTTTCAGGGTGTCACTTGCCTTCTGCTATATTCTAAGAGATTGGAGTTCTTGGTTCATTTTGGTAAACTTGCTAAGTAATGACTCATGGCCCTAGAGATGACTTGAAGGTTATGCTCAAGAGAATGAATATGTTGCTGGCTTTGATGGAAATTAAAATTAAAACTATCAAACTCTTGTTCTAAGGCTCTAATTAGTTTTTCATGACCTAACCTCATGCTTGACTGTTTGATTTGAAGGTTCCAAAAGTTATCTAAGAGAACCTGCTACCTATCAGAAAGTCCTGGTACTTTTGGCCTCTATCTTAGGGTTGGATTTCTGATTCATTCAATAATATTGCCATTAAAGTTGAAAGTGGGTACTGGTGGTGATGCTGGTCTGCTTATGCTATTTTGGAATCCATGGAATGATGGAGGTCCATGGTGCATTATTATGCTATTGAAATGTACGCTTCTGCCTTGTGGTCTTGTGCTATTTGAGAATGATGGTCCACGATATTCCATTCCTGTTCAACAAATTAATCTTGATAAGATATCGGCCAATGTATTGTCATTACCTTTTATATGTTCAAAAATTGGTTTAAAATCATTCCCTATAATGGAATCAACAAAATTAACCCATCTTCGAGCTGCCTGTTTATTAGCATGTATCTTGTTATAATGAGAAACTATATTTTGACAATCTGTTCTAATCGTAAATATTTCATTATGTAAGAATAATGAGAATGCTTCAAGTGAGTTTATTATTCCTAAAATTTCTAAATCTGTTGATGGTAATCTTGACTGTACATCATTAAATTTTCCTGATGAATATCTACAAACTTGTTCATCAGACTTTGGAGACTCCTTATACTTTTTCTGGTATAGTATATATGCCCATCCTAATGATGAAGCATCTGTTTCAACTATTTTATAACTATCATCTAATGGTAATGTTAATGGCTTAAGTTTAGTAATTTCTTCCTTTATATTTTGAACTAATTTAATAGCTTCACTATTAAAATACTTTTGTCCTGTTTTGCTGGTTTTACTATGTAATACTACTATTTTTTTCCTAGATCAGGAATAAAATTTCTTGCATAATTTAACAATCCTAAAAATGCTTGTAACTGTTTCTTATCTTCTAACTTATCTGGAAATTCTAAGACCTTTTTAGCTATATGATCTTGTAATTGTATTGTACCTGACTTGATATACATTCCTAAAAATTCTATATCTTACTTTTCTAATGCTATTTTATTTTTGCTAATCACAATTCCATTATTGATAAATTCTTGTAAAACTATCTCTAAATGTTTCCTATATTCATTTCTGTTTTTAATATGTACTAAAATATCATCTACATAAACACTACAAAAATTATCATATTTCTTGAATATTTGGTCCATCTTTCTTTGAAAGATTGATTGAGCATTTTTAAGTCCAAATGGCATAACAAGCCACTCAAAATGTCCTTTTGGACAAGTAAAAGTTGTCGACTCTATTGATTCTTCTGCTAATCGTATTTGCCAAAATCTTGTTTTTATTATTATCTTCTAACTGAGATGTAATATAGTCTAAATTTTGTCTAGTTGTTTTTATGGAATTTTTCTGAAAATGCTCTAACAATTGATTTAACAAATGATTATGCTTATTATTTTCTAATTTTATATTTCTGCTTGACTAATAATAAGATCTACAATACTAATGGCTTGTGAATTTTCTTCACTATGCAAAATATGATTAAGATTTCTCAATGGAAAATAACAAACTAAACTATTTTGGTCTAAGGTTTTTTTTTTTTTTTGAGGTTCACTAATTTATAAATTAAGAAAATCTATTATAAATTACAGTCTACATTTCTTTAAAGTTATGGCTAACTGATTTCTTAGAAACTCTTTTTCTTCTCTCAAGGTCTCTAAAACTTGATTCATTGCTCTTTTTGCTTCTAAAACTTTATGCTGCACTTCTGTATTATTATATTTACTAATAAATGAAGGATGTTCAATATAACCAAGATAAAACTTCTGCTTCTTCAAAGTCCTGCTAATTCTTTTGGATATATATGATAATCTTCTCTTTATGCTAGTTATAGTTGGGTGTCTGTAACAATAAATACCTGGTAGTTGTGGTTAACAAGGTCTACAGAGACAATAATATATGTTGTTCATACAAAATAAACAAGTGTGATATCAGTTGTATCAATGACTTCCATCCTCAAGGTACTTTACTATTATAATTATATTATTAAAATATTAAACTTGGCTCTGATACCACATTCGCACAGCAGGCCCGGTTAAATAGTCGGATGACCATTATAACAACTAAACATAAAACTTTGCACATGGAACTCGACATGTTTCAGCATGACGGCCACTCACAGTACAAGTATAAGGCCTTAACAGTTGAACTTAGAGGTACGAAGAACTCAGAGGTACCCTGGTTAATGTCCAGTTATTTGTATGGCAAGCATTCAACTATAAAAGAATGCTCGAACGAAGTATGATCGTCAGTTTTGCAGGTTAATAATATAACTACAATAGTGTTTCCTTGTTTTGGACAATAAGTCTTAATTAAACAAACACACTAAAGAAAGAAAATAAAACTTACTTAAGACTTGGAGATTGCTTGAATATGTACACTTGAACATTTATTGATATATAGAATGTTTATAAAGACAATTGTTTACAACAAAGTGTTTACAAGGATGATATGGAGGCTATGGATGCTTGAGTGTATGAGGATTGAAGGATGGTGTGTATGGTGTGTCTCTGCTGTGTTGTTTCGTGTTGAGGTTGAGATAGTGGTAGTCTATATGGGAGGAAAAGCTCCCTTATATACAAATCCTAAAATAGAATAACGTTCCAATATTTACAACTTTTTGGATAGTGACAACACACTATTTTTGAAAGCTATCAGCACTGTTTCTGAAAACTGACTGTCTTGTCTTTGCTTGAATGTCATGTGAATTTATGTTGTCTTGGTTGCTGCAATATTTGCCACATTTTCTTTTGCATGTGAATCCATGTTGTCTTGGTTGTTGCAATGTTTGCCACATTTTCTTTTGCATGCCAATGTTTTCTGAAAATGTCAGTCTTCCTTTTCTTCTTTTGGCTGCATTTTCTGGTGAAACCACATGAAATTTGCAGAATACTGACCCAATCTTGTACGGATGTTTGAAAGGTATGATCGGCATTTTCAAAAACTTTTCTCCTGCTGATTAAAAAGAAAGTTTTTTAGGGTTTTTGGTTAGTTTTCCAATAGAAATAAGCAAAAGTTCGAATGAGCTGATCTTGCAAATGTTTAACCATATATAGCACATGATTTGAGCGAAACTAAACAAAAGTTTATTGAAATGTGCATGAAACAGATTTGAATGCAAATTTAAGAACCTAAATACTGATTTTAATCCTTTGAACCATTTAAAACACTAGTGTCCATCTGGATGCAAGAGTTTGAAATGGGACTCGATCCTCTCTTCTTGCAATCTTTTGTCCTTCGGCCTCCTTGTGTTCTAACTAAGGTTCTAAAAAACGCTAGGCGCTAGTCGGGTGGCGGGCTAGCGCCTAGCGCTTAGACGGCCTAGGCAGATTTAGGTAAATTTATTGTATATCTTGTAAATAAGTGCATATTAACACTTACGAAAAATTATACTTGTATGAAATCTATAGATAAGATAATAAAATAATGATAAAATGTAAAAATGGTATCCAACAATGTCTCTCCAATAGATAGGATTTTTTTATTTTTTAATGAACTAGATTGCATAAGATGAAAGTTCATATGATAATAAGTATGTATTACATAATAAATATTTTTTAAAGATTATTTATTATATAGTGAACTTAAAAAAAAATAAAAGTGTAAACATTGTGGTTTGTACTTTTTTTTTGTTTTTTTGAAAAGGATTGTGGTTTGTATTTTGAAGTCTGTAAAAAGGAAGTTGGGGCATGCTGCACCAAAAAGGGATGTGGGGCACACCACACCAATATTCAATGTATGTTTGACAATTGATTAGAGGTAATTAATTTAAAAAAAAAATAAAACAAAAAGTGGAGTGTACGTTTGTCACATGGGGGAGTGGGAAGAGAGAGAAACACATTTCTATCTTCTTATTCCTTTCATCTTTTTCTTCTTCCTTTCATCTTCTTGAAACGCAGAAAGGTAGAAACAGAACAACGCAGCTCTCTACAACGACAAAAAGTTTAAAACGCCCAGACTGCCTAGGCTATCGAGTCGCCCGCCTAGGTCGCCCAAGCACCGCCTAAGCTACCTTTGCGCCCGCCTAAACCTCTTGCCGATTTTTCTCCCGATTATGGGCTAAAAGGAGCGGCTGGCCACCTTGTAGCGCCTAGGCTGATTTTTAAAACACTGGTTCTAACATAGATCATCTATACGACTACATATATGACATGCCAACCCCTAAATTTCTAGTGGTATATGGTTCCCTTCTTTTATGTAAGATATAGCTTTTATCCAATTAGGGCAAATACATTGTGACTTAATTTTTTCTTATAAGATATACTACTTCCTTGTTGAGCTGTCTTGTACCGATCTCTAGAGTCTTCGGTCAAAATTGTACATTACGGACCTTTCTTATCTGTCTTTTCAACAAGAAGATTAACAGGCTCCTGATGTTCCCAAATATGACACGAAGAATACAGAAATGCCCACCACTGCGAGGAAACTAAAAATAATTGAACAAATTTGGAAATGTTATAACTGGGAATCACTCGAGTCAAGAAGAAGGAGAAAACGAGTATATCCAAGGTTGGACCAAAGAAGAAAAGGAGCCCAAGGAACTAAAAGCTCCTCCTAGACATGAGCATGTGAGTTCATAAACTAAGGTGACCTGGTTGATGCCCTTGTCATCCTTTTACGAAGAAAATTTTCAGTTTTTCGTTGGGGATAGCCTCTGCAGTATGGTTCTTAGCAGTGTCTGAAGAATCTGGCACCCTTGAATAGTGGTGGATTGCCTATGAGTGGTTTGCCTTTTAATTTACCATGTTTGTTATTGATTTCTAGGACATTTAGTAGCTTGCTCGTTGTTTTCTTGTGGAAGCTAGTAGTTCTGTTAGGCATTTCAATTAATCTTCTGACGTCTGAATTGGATTTTCTTTCCCTTGCTCTCTCTTGCTCTCTTTGCTCGTTCCGCTACGGGATGCATATGCGTTGCTAATGATTTGCAAAATCTCATTGATGGTAAAGAATGGGCTGCAATGCTATAACATAATCCGTGATTTTTCTATGGTTTATTTTGAGGAAACTGTGGTGCCTCAATTATTTATTTGTACATATTATTTGCAAATCTTTATATTTCTTAAAGGGATCTGGATTGAAGGATTTAGAAGTAGGAATTTTTTTATTTTTAAAGTTGGCCATACAAATATCAGATATATTTGTGCTGCATTGGAAACTAGTACTGAACTAGAAATTACCACCCGCGCGTTGCTGCGGGATTAGAAATTGTATAAAAGATTATATTTGACATATGTAAAGTAAAGAATTGTTTCAATTTAGGTACAATGAATTGAAAGTCTAAGCAATCGTACTCAATGTTGTGAGAATAAGGCTTTTGGCTGAAATAACACTGCCTTTATGTTTGTTCCCTTCCACCATTGCAATTCCTGCTAGAATATCAACAAATTCACAAAACATACAAAAAAATTACTGATATTGTGATATATTCACATAACGTCTCTCAGTTAAATGTAAGACAAACTATAAGTTTCTGCTTTACCAAACCAGGGAGGAGAAACATGGGACGCCTGGATTGTTGAATAAAAACTGAGAGACGCTTGTAAAATGCTTACTGCTTCTTTCATCAATTCTTCTTGATCTTTAACCTTTTTTTTTTTTTTTTTGTCAAAATGATCTTTAACTTTTGACTTGTGTAGATTAGAAACGCATGGATTTTCCTTTGTAAACTACATTTTAGAACTAAAAACGAAACAAATTTATTATAAAAAAAGGAATGCAATGTTAGAAACATGGATAATTACGCAATCAAAATAGTAACTTCAAAATTCATATGATCTGACCTAAACAAATTAAAATGATTTGCTTATTTTGCTAAAGAATTAACAAATTTGGTATAATTTATGAGACTAATTGCAAAGATGGATACAACACTTTAAACAACTATAAATTTTATAGAAAAGCTTTTCAAGAGTTTAGTTGGAGAAGGCAATATCTGAAATACATCACTCAGAAGAAAAAGATCAAACTTACAATGCTTAATTCTACATATTAAATTTTGTAATGCAGTTTGAACAGCTGACCACATTGTTGAATAATATTATCAAATTCAACAGATCTACTGATCTTAAAAATTATTGGAGAACAAAATTTAGACATGTAAAATTCAAATACCTGTAATTGAAGAAAATGAAGTGTTGGAAACTGGAATTCATCGATTAAAAATTCATATAAGCTTTCCTGTAAAGTAACCAAACTAATTGCAGCAATGTTATACATTGACATACGCAAAAATATGAACACGTTTATACACAAACATATATATTGACATAGCAAGAGTATAATCTTATTTGTTCCACTTTAAATTCTCTACTATGTTATTTCTATTCATTCATTTTCTACATAACTAATTTTTCCTTCACATAAACATAAATGGCCGAAAGAATAGACGCTTAGATATTAAAATCCAATGGAAAAACTTACTGCTCATAGATTCCAACACCAATGCAAAAACATCCATAATAGTCTTGGGGAAAGTTTCAAATATGATTGCACCCTCTAAAGCTTTATGAAGCACTGAAGATAAATTTTTGTGGTCCGACCCCTAAAAGAATCAGGTCAGATATTAGTAACATGGTTTCAAAAAGAGTTGTTAGAAGAAGGATAAAAAATTTGTAAGCACAAAGTCATATTCTATTATATTCTAATTTTTAATATTTCATTAGTGTTCGAAAAACCTGCTAATGCTCACTATTTACAACATGTGCCACTTTGACAATAGCCAAGCAGTGATTCATGTAATCATGAGTGTGTGTGTTTCCAAATAACCAAACAAAGTAGCTACAATAACACTAACTTAAAACGATACTTCAACCCTCTCTGAGGAGAACGATTGACGCAAGAAATGCCACAACCACGTTTTGGATCACATTTATAAATCACTTTAGCCTTCGAAAGTGAGTAAAGTACATTTCTTACTGCAATTATGAACATCTATAGTGCGTGAGCTTTGAATGTGTTGGTATAACATGCTTTTTAACAAATTAAAGTGTTTTTGGTTGGGTTATAATTATCTAATCGAGTTTATGCATAAAAATATACACCAATATTTCTAACCAAATCATTCCCTCTAATACGATAATATCAATTAGTTTAGCCAAGTTCAACATTTATTTGTCTAAATCTTTGTTTATTAGAATTTAAAAAAAAAAAACATCTAAAACTTTGCTTTGAGCTTGCTTACTTTGTGATCAGTTTGGACTTGGATTGGTATATGGTAATAAATCAGTAGGGACACCAGTAGTGGTAAATGGCTCCACTGAGTGTGCTCCATGTCACTAATCGTGTTCTTCGCCAATTATCTATAGTTGAGCAACATATTCAGATATTTTCTTGATGGCTTCCACCTACAAAGGTAAAAGCAGAACATCAAAAATCATGCCGCAAGTGTCTCTGTAGAACCTTTTCAACTAAAGGAAAAATAAAGGAGGGTAACAAAACTGACCTACGAACTACACATCTTTGTTCTTCTCAACAACCTGTTAGTCGTAAATTCGAAGATGAACATAGCATAATAAGATTGTTAATTTATAACACGAACCAAACGATGTTACAGGTACAAAATATAATCACCTAAACCTTATCATCTTACACTGCAAGTTGAGCAGAGCTTTTCATTTGTCGATTTCTCAAGCGACAATGCAAGCTCCATTGCTGGATCAAAAACAGGACCGAGAGGTCATCAAATCCAATACAGAGAGCAGATGAAATTGAACCCAAAAGGCAAAAGCCTTCTCTAACAAAGAGATACACATAAACAGTTGTTTGGGATATAAATATGGGTGTACCTGGAAAGATTAAAAAAGGTTTCTGAGTTCCCAAGCAGGAGCCTCCAAATCCTTTCAATTCAACAAATATTACAGCAAAACAAAAAAGCTCTATAAGTCAATTAACAACTAAAACATGAAAAAAAAAACAATCAGAAAAATCACCAAACCCAATTTTCAATCACTTAAAATTAGATCGAGAGAGAGTACTGTTGAGATAAAAAATTAACAATCATGCTTTTCTTTCATAGCAAGCAAGAAGAGACTAAATTCCCCGTAAGCCCTAATTTAATAAAGCACCAAACAAAGGCAAAATGAGAGAGGAAACCCAAAAACAATTACAGCATAAAAATGATTACAGCATAAAAAAAATGTGAAGATCAAAACTTTGAGAGCAAAACCTAAGTTTTAAGAAAATAAATTTAATGAACAGAACACCACCCCTAAAAAATTATTATGTTGAACAAAAAACCAATAGAAAAAAATAGATTTTATATACATACCTTCAACACAATGGGCTTGCAAAACTGCAGACGAAAGCCCCAAAATTGGAGAAGAAGCATTTCCTGAAACCAAAAACCCAACCAAATAAGCGCACTGACCAAACCCCAAAATGAAAAAAAAATAAAAAATTTAAAGACAAAATTCATCTCTAAATCGAAAACCACCTGCAGACGAAAGCCCAAAATTGGAGCAGAAGCGTTTCCTGAAATATAAAACCCATCCAAATAAGCGCAATCCCAAAATTTAAAAAAAAAAAAAAAAAGTTTAATGATAAAATTTATCTCCAAGTCGAAAACCACCGAAAAAATGAATCACATAAGCTTAAAAAACGAAAAACTCACCAGAACACGTTAGACTACGCAAAGAAAAAATGGATTTCAATCGAATTGAAAAAGGCAGAAATCTGTAGCCCCTAAACCATTCACGAATCGAGCAATTTTCCGGGAAAAATAACGAAGCTGAATAATCAGACGGAGAAACTTGCTAGGTGTGGACAGCAAGAACAACACCGGCGTGGAAGAGAAAAAGCTACGTTCGACAATTTGCAGAAACTGAGGATGCAGAGAGAGAAGCGAACGGAAAGAAAAAGCAAAGAATGGAGGGAAAGAGGCAAACGGAAAAAAACACCAACGAAGAAATCGAAGAAGAAGGACCGGCGATGATAGACGCGTGGCCACCGAGGGCAATGCACATCCGTCTCACGATGACCAACACGTGTATAGGAGGAGTCTAGAAGCAAATAGAAAACTGCGGCTTTTCCATCCTTCTCCCCCTCCTTTCGCGATGAGCAACACATGTATAGAAGGGGTAAAATCATAAATTAACTGTTCAGAACAAAAAGTTAAGCTGAGAAAAAGAAGCAGGTGAGGGTTATTTTCGTAATTTACTGCTCGTGAACAGTGCCTTCCACCAGGTTTTAGTATATAGATAATATCGTGCTCGGAGTCGAAGGTACCAATTTAGTTAGACGGTACCCGCACTTGCGCCCACACCCACCAAAGTTTAATTGGTAGGGTCCCGTGTGTACCCGTTCCTGCGATTATTTTGCCCATCCCTAATTCTCTTAAGAGGAGCTTCACTCTTTGCTCTCAGGGATTTGGCGTTGGAATCTTCTCTGGTGGAAAAATGTTTCCAACATATAATTGTTGCGAGTTATGTATTAGTTAGAGTGTAAATAGTAGTTTATTGTCCCACATTGGTGAAGTACATATATAATACCAATTGTAACTCTTATATATACTCCACTTTGGAGATTAATGAATATATAAGAAATTCCCAAATATTGTCATATATATTTTTGGTATTTATCATGTTTAATTTAATATTGGTATTTACCATGTTTAGTTCAATATGACATCAGAGCAGTTCGCTCTTGGTGACCTGTGTGCTTTAATTTTGTGCCCACATTTTTCGTGATTTCCTTCAAAAAAAAAAAAAAAGTGAATAGTGGCGTGCTACAGTACAAGTGGTCCTCTACAGTGTCGTAAACAGTGATTGCTACAATGTCGTGAACAGTGCTTTGCTACATTGCCGTATGCTACAGTGTCTGGTAAATTGTTTTCATTCCGCTGCGTATCTTTTGTGCCTTTATTGTTCGTGATTTTTGTTCAATGGCTTAATATAATCATAGTGTTGTTATGCATCTTGGCGGAACAAATAAATGGATAATAGATATTGGGGCCACTGATCATGTGACTAGTGACCCTAGAGTGTTTGATGAGTTATGTGACTATGTTCGTGATCCGTATATTACTAGTGCAAATGGAGCACATTCTCCTGTGAAGGGTGAAGGCACTATCTCTCTGACTCCAACCTTATCATTGGTCCGTGCTTTACTTGTTCCTGATCTAAGTGCAATCTTTTGTCGGTAGGAAAACTTCTTGATACCTTATATTGTTCTGCTTACTTCTACCCTACGTATTGTTATTTTCAAGATATTTAAACTCAGAAGATAATTGGTCATGGTAAAAGAATAGGGGGTTTGTACATCTTGACTATGGAGGATACTGTTGTTTTTGGTTCAAATAATCATCAAGTTTTAAGTGCTAAAGTGGATGACAGACATCAAATTTGGTTGTGGCATCGACGATTGGGACATCCATCATTCAGTTATATGAAACATATATTTCCTTCTTTGTTTCGCACTTGTAGTGATTCAGAGTTCAAGTGTGAAACATGTGTCATGGCTAAGAGTCATCGTGCTTCATTTCCTGTAAGTGATTCTAAAGCTACTTTGCCATTTGATTTGATACATTCTGATGTGTGGGGTCCAGCGAAAGTTACTTCTAATGGATTCTGTTGGTTTGTTACTTTTATTGATGATTGTACTCGATTAACTTGGGTGTTCTTGATGAAGAAAAAGAGTGATGTTCCGTTACTTCTTCAAGAATTTTGTACAATGGTGTCTACTCAGTTTCAGACCAAAGTTAAGGTCTTCAGGTCTGATAACGGGGGAGAATATGTGAATCACACTTTAACATGTTTTTTTTCGTGATCATGGTATTATTCACCAGACGACTACTCCGTTTACACCCCAACAAAATGGTGTGTCCGAACGGAAGAATCGTCAAATAATGGAAGTTGCTCGCTCCTTGATGTTGGATAAATGTGTTCCTAATCATTTGTGGGGTCATGCTGTTTTGGCTGCTGTGTATTTGATCAATCGTGTTCCAAGTAGGGTTCTTGATTTTCAGACACCGTTCGATGTGCTACAACAACATGTTTCTCTTGTTTCTGTATCAAAGCTTCATCCAAAAGTGTTTGGGTGTATTGCGTATGTGCATGTCTACTCTCATCAGCGGAGTAAACTTGATGCATGTGCTCTCCGGTGTGTCTTTATTGGGTATGCTAACAATCAAAATTTACCTCATGTATGACACCATATTGTACCAAACTGTTAGAAAATCATCACTGGACGAACCATCATCAGGCAACTCGTTAGACATATCAGCAGCAAGCAACCGATCATTAGAAGGCAATTCCTCAGACATACTAACAGGCAACTCGCTGGGCACATCTGATCTATCGTCAGTAGAAATAGTTCCGGGAATAACAGGTGACCGATCACTATCTGTAGTCGACTGATCAGTATCACGCAACATAGTAGGTTCTGTTTCCAACTCTGCCTGTAACACATCATCCATACCATCTCTTCGAATCTGCACTTCACTCCCCCTCTCCCCCTAAAGTGGAGAGTCGGAAGAGGGCTTCACAAAATACGAAACTTCCTCATGGAAGGTGACATCCATGGTAATATATGTTTTTTGAGTCGGAGGATGATAACACTTATAGCATTTCTGATTGTTAGCGTACCCAATAAAGACCTAAGGTTGTTTAACCAATTCAGAAAGTCACTTGATCAGTTGATCCTGTATATACGAGGAAGATTGTACATGATATTGACAAACATCGGTGTTGGGCAGTACTTCATTTGATGAACAAGGCTTATTTGCATATCTCCTTTGCGAATAAAGTCTGGAAAAAAAACAGTTTACCCCCCTTGAAGCATGCTCTGTTCCTGAATATTGTTTTGTTTTTACGAAATTATTCCCCATTGCTTAAAATCTCTCGTCCATCTTTCTAAGCCACTTATTTGATTGTTTTTAAATCATAACCCACAAGAAGTGCCTAATGAGGAATAGCAAAGCATATAGGCTATTGGAAATAATAAAATAGCATAGGAAGAAAAAGATGGCCCTAATGAAGAACAGGGAGAAGCATAATGTGTTGAAAAGACAAGTACAGAAATCATAAATGAAAATTTATTACTTTGCTATAGGAATAACCCTGTTACTACTACAAACTTTCTTTTTATTTGAGTGAATCAATCTACTGTAAACTACGATGGGAGGTTCAAACTTGGCTGTATAAGGGAAGGCACAAACTTCTACCCAACATGACTATGCCCAGACGTAATGCAGACTAACAGGTGCTACATTTTTTCTTCAGCATCTTGGATTAAACTTTGTGACTCTTCGACGTCATCTTCGATGGTCTTGATGACCATGTTGTTTCTGAATCATCTTCATCATCCAGTACCGGTTTCTCTTGTGGGTATAGGAAAGGCTTTGGAGGCATATCAAGACTCTCAATTTCTCCTTCAAGCATCTCTACTACTTTGTTCATTGAAGTAGGACGGTCATTAGGCTTCATTTGGATGCACCATAGAGCAACAATAAGCATCTTCTTTGTTATTTCATTTTCTTCTTCCGTGGCACCTTCACTTTCTATGTCATTTCCTTCGCTGAATTGGTCATAAACCCATGAAGGAAAGTAATTTTGGCTCGAATGTGCTGCAACGTTCAAGTTCTTTCTTTTGCCTGCAATTTCCATCAGTAGCATTCCGAAACTATAGATGTCTGCTTTGTTAGACACACCTCCAATATTTTTGTAGAATAACTCAGGGGCTATGTATCCAATAGTTCCTCTTGCTGCAGTCAACGTTAAGCTACTATCATCTACTGGACAGAGTCTAGCTAGCCCAAAATCAGAAACCTTTGGAACATAATTGTCGTCGAGAAGAATGTTGTGAGGCTTGATATCAAAGTGCAAAATCTGCATGTCACATCCTTGATGTAGATAATCGATACCATGAGCCACACCAAGTGAAATTTCAAAAGCTCTCTTGCAACGCAAGGAGATGAGTCATTCTTTCGGAAATATGTGTTTATCAAGAGATCCATTTGACATGAACTCGTATACAAGAGCACGCTTTGATCCCTCAGCACAGTAGCCAATTAGTTGCACCACATTGACATGATGAATCCTTCCAATGGTACCAGCTTTATTGATAAAATCTTGTCCATTAGCTTTGGACTTACCGAGCATCTTAATCGCCACAAACCGGCCGCTCCGAAGCGTCCCTTTGTAGACAGAGCCGTAACCTCCTTCGCCCAATTTGTCCTTGAATCCTCTGGTCATTTTCTTGATGTCGGAGTAGTACCTTATTGGCATGAGGTTGTTGTGACTTTGTAAGAATTCTTCAATTAGGACATACATTGATAGGTGCCACTTTTTCCATTTATAGATTAAAAGCACAATCACACATGGAATGCCGAGTACAGTTCTTGCTGGAAGGACAAATGTTACTGTAATGGAAATAAATAAGAATCAAGAGGAAATATTTCGAAATTGCATTCAACTGTCTCAAATTGAAAATTCATTTTGTATTTAAAAACACAAATAAGAAGTACTCACCAATGGCTAGAAGCCCGAAATAGATAGCTGCAAGAAACAACTTTAAATTAGTAGAGAGAGAGTTGGGAAGGGTTCGCCGATAGTAAAAAGTGAAAATGTAGAATTTCTGGTTTAAAGTTTTCATATGTATTTCATGTGTATTGGTACAAGAGGGAGTCCGGATATATATGAGAAGAGGGAGGGAAAGCTGCTATATTCAGCCGACAAGAAATCAGGAAATGGGGAGAAAGTAGTAGGAAGAAAGTGGAAAATAAAGCTGCTGCAAGCAGCCAACAAGAAAATAAAAAAAAATAAGGAATAAAGTTGCCAACCTATCTGCCAACCTATCTAAACTTAACTTATGCAAGTCTACTCCCTTAAATCAAGGGGAAGGTATTACAATGACACGGAAAGGTATTACAATGACACTCAACAACACTCCCCCTCAAGCTGGATCGAGTAGATTAATCGAGCCAAGCTTGCCCAAAAAACGATGAAATGGAGTAGATGTCAGAGCCTTGGTAAAGAGATCTGCCAGTTGATCATGGCTTCGAGTGAAGATGGTCTGAATGACTTGAGTTTGCACTTGAGCTCTAACAAAATGACAGTCCACTTCAATGTGTTTCGTTCTTTCATGGAACACAGGGTTAGCAGCGATGTGAATGGCTGCTTGATTATCGCACATAAGAGACATAGGAGTAGTGCTAGTAAACCCTAAGTCTGAAAGAAGCCCTTTAAGCCATATAAGTTCACATGCAGTGGCTGCCATGGCTCGATATTCATCCTCTGCACTAGAGCGAGCAATGACATGTTGTTTCTTGCTCTTCCAAGTGACAAGATTTCCACCAACAAACGTGCAATAACCCGTGGTAGATTTCCTATCAAGAGCATTCCCTGCCCAATCTGCATCAGTGTAGCCACTGATGGCAGTGGAATTGTTGTTACGCATGATGATTCCCTGCCCTATCGAACCCCTGAGATAACGCAGAACTCTCTTAACCATGTTAAGATGATCAACTGTAGGAGAATGCATAAATTGGCTTACCAGGCTCACTGCATATGTGATATCCGGACGTGTGATGGTGAGATATATAAGTTTGCCCACCAATTGTTGATAGTAACTCACATTATGCATGGCTTCTCCATCTGTGTTGAGCCTTAGTTTAGAATCCACGGGAGTGATGGCAGGTTTGCAATCAAGCATTTTTGCTTCCTGAAGAAGATCCAATACATATTTCCGTTGATGTAGAAATAGCCCCTTTGAAGAGGTTGCCATTTCTATGCCCAAAAAATACTTTAGTTTCCCCAGATCTTTGATAGCAACTGTTTGGCATAGCGAGACTTTTAGTGCCTCAATTTCAGCAACATTATCTCCTGTGATGATGAGATCGTCTACATAGATGAGCACCACCAATTTCCCACTGGTGCCAGTTTTTACAAACAATGAAGAATCAGCATTACTTCGTAGGAATCCAGCCTTCTCTAGAACTGAACTGAGCTTGGCATACCAAGCTCTTGGGGATTGTTTCAATCCATAGATTGCCTTGTGTAGCTTACAAACCATGTTACCTTTAATACCATCAAAACCTGGAGGAGGCTGCATATACACTTCTTCTTGTAACTCTCCTTGAAGGAAAGCATTCTTCACATCCATTTGATAAAGAGTCCACCCACAATTGATTGCAACTGAGAGTAGAACCCTCACTGAATTCATCTTGGCCACAGGAGCAAATGTTTCCTTGTAATCTACCCCAAAGGTTTGGGTGAAACCTCGAGCAACAAGCCTGGCCTTGTGTCTCTCGATAGAACCATCAGCCTTGAATTTAATCTTGTAAATCCAACGACTTCCAACAGCTTTTTTTCCTGGTGGTAGTTGAACCAAGCTCCAAGTTTTATTTTCTTCTAGAGCACTAAGCTCATCTGCCATGGCTTGTTTCCATTGTGGGAGGAGAAAAGCCTCTTGAAAGCTTCTAGGTTAATTGTGTTTATCAATTTCACAGAGAAATGTAGCATGAGATGTTGAGAACTTACCAAGACTGATGTTTTCACTGATAGGATACCGTGAGGCATAAGTAACATAGTCTTGCAGCCTAGTTGGAGGTTTTCTGGTTCGAGGAGGATTTCTTCTAAGCCCTTGAGGCTCTGTAGGAGATTGTGAATTATCAGAATGAGACTCCTCGTCTCTCTCATTGGCCGGGATACTGCTATCGGTGATTGAGTCAGTTTGTATTTCTTCAATATCTGGTATCACAGTAACTGAACTCTCTTCCAATACTGGATTATTAATGTTCTGAGGAAGTGGAAAGATTTCAAACAGCTCATCCCCTTGACTTGCAGTATTTCCCTTGTGAGTAAAATAAGGACAATCTTCTTCAAACTTCACATCCCTTGACACAACACATTTCTTAGTGGTTGGATTGTAGCACTTGTATCCCTTTTGGGTGGAAGAATACCCCACAAACACACACTTGGTTGCCCTGGCATCTAATTTGTCACGGTTCAAGGCTTGAATGTGAACAAAGCAAACACATCCAAATACCTTGAGGTGTGTCAAATTAATTTTCCTACCCTTGAGTACTTCATAGGGAGATTTAAACCCTAACACATGACTTGGGAGTCGGTTGATGAGGTAGGTGGCAGTGAGGATATCAAATGACCAAAATTTCTTTGGAACATGCATATGAAGCATGAGGGCACGAGTCTTCTCCAAGATATCTCTATTTTTTCTCTCGGCTACTCCATTTTGTTGGGGAGTCCCTACACAGCTGGTTTGATGTATTATGCCCTGAGAACTTATGTATTGAAGCATTTTGTTGGATAGAAATTCAGTGCCATTATCAGATCTTAACACCTTAATGTCTGATTGAAATTGTGTCTTAACATGCATATGAAAATCTTTGAAAATAGTTTGAACTTCACTCTTTGATTTCATAAGGTACACAAAACTCATTCGAGAGAAGTCATCGATAAATAGAACAAAGTACTTGAACCCTTCTATTGATTCAGTTGTTGGTCCCCATACATCGGTGTGCACCATTTCAAAGAGTTTACTTGTCCTAGACATTGAATTACCAAAAGGTAATCTAGTAAACTTAGAAAGTTGACAAGTATCACAAGTAACATGATTTTTACAAAAATTTGGAAATAATTTAGACAAGATAACTTCAGAGGGATGAGCTAATCTCTTATGCCAAAGTTGGTTTTCATCTACGGACTTTGATTGAGCTTGAAGGGCCTGAGTAAAACAAGTATTCTTGCACAGGTAGTAAAGTCCATTTATAAAGACCCCTTCACCAATCATCTTCATGGTGAGAACATCCTGAAACATCACATTATCTGGTGAGAAAATGGCACGGCAATTTAGGGTGTTTGTGATCTTTCCAATTGACAGAAGTTGGAAAGGAAAGGTTGGTACATATAAGGTAGTGGAAGGTGTTTTGTGTGAAAGTAAGTTTATTTCTCATTTTCCCAAAACTAAGACATTTTTTCCATTTGCAATAGACACATGTGAGGGACTTAAAAAACGTTTAAAATGATTCAAATTTGTGACTTTGTTTGTCATATGATCTGTGGCTCCTGAATCAATTACCCAACAATCATTTTCAGTACTAGTTAATAGGGCAGTAGTGAAAGCTTTGAGTATACCTGGTGCTTCATCCTTTGGGACTTTCTCATTTCCAGCAAGAAAGCCAGCAAACTGTCCTAACATGGCTGTATAACTGCTCTTTTCATTGCCTCGAGCTTGTGAACCTCCTTCGTGTTCCTTACTTTGAAGGTAAGCTGCAAACTCATTGATAAGTGACAATGGGTTGGTAGTGAACTCCATGGATCCTTGTGAGATAGTAGAGGGATGAGCATTGGCAAGTTGAGCCTTGTAGTGAGGTTGAAATTGCTGTGAGGACCTTGGTATCATTTTTCCATCTTTGCTGAACTTAGGCTTGAGTTCAGGATGAAGTTCCCAACACTTGTCTTCCACATGACCAACGCCATTGCAATATTTGCATTTCAGGTGTGTATTTTTACCCTTGTACACTTTTGCCTCTGAGGTCTTGTAGTTTGAGGCATATGCACGAGTCTCAGTCAATCTCGAGTTGTGCTCAGCATTCATCACTTTCTTTCTTGCTTCTTCTCGTTGGATAGTTGCACAGACATTGTTGAACGTGGGAAGCTCCTGACTCATCAAGATGTGACTCCTTAGATCCTCGTACTCAGAGTTCAACTCCCCAACAGTTGGTAGATTTTGTCTTCCTCGGCTCGTTTAAGGAGAATGATAGGATCTGTGGTATGTGGAAGGTATACATCCAACTCATTCCACATGGCTTTGAGGCTTCCAAGATGTTGAACAAATGCTTTCCCTTCTTGTTGGGCACTGGCTATGTCCTTCT